ACGCCATTGTGAATTTTCATTTCATTTCAGTGCCTTCTTTCTTTACAATTCATTTTGATAAAGTTGACAAACTCTTATGTTTTCTGTTTGACAGAGGTTGGGAACTCGAATTATGTGGAAGCAGAAAATAAGTATGGCCGCGCTATGAAAGGAGCACCTTCAGATTCACTCTTTGCCCAATTCTGTTTGCATGCTCTGTGGTTCGGCAACTGCCATATACGAGGTATGTGTTTTCCCCTTTGCTTTCTTATAATGCCTCTGTTTTAATTTGATGAGCATTAATAATAATAGGACTTATTTTTTATTTCAGCAATAGCAGTCCTGTGGATTGACTTTGTTCGTGAAATTCGTTGGTGCTGGGAGGAATCAGAGCGATTGCCGAGGATGAAGAGCACTTCTAGTATCGACCTCTGTACTTGTCTGATACACCAAAAGTTGCATATGGTACTTGTACTGTTCTTCTTGTAGTCCTTTCCATTTGAGAGGTTAACATCCTGTGAGCAAATGCTACTTTCTTATGTTGTCCATTGATATCAAGTGAAAATCATGGTTGGCGTTTATGGTATATACATGCATTACTTATTTCTTTGGTACTCTGCTTAGCAAGGTAGATAATAGACCTGTTGTTGACTTCTATTTGGGAGACATATTCGGCCTATTGGTTTGCTTGTCTCCATATGCTGTTGTGTGGTAATTCTAACTATTTCTTAGTCCCCCATCGCCTATCCTACTTATGGCAATGATCATTAAGTAATTCTCATAGGTCTCTCCCAAAAGCTCAGTGGGCAAATCTAGCCGTTGTATGAACATGGTTGTATTCATAGTGTATTGCCTAAGAAAGCCATGCTCTTATGAAGTTTATTGTAAGTTTCAAGTGTCAATGGTTGCCCCTTGCATCTTTTAACTTGTTCCCTGCTACACTTGTGCTGTGTTTTCTGGGTAGGAGTACCTGTTTCCTGACAGATCAGCATCATACTTAATTTTGTGTTTTTTTTCTCCTTGTAAGCTTGCAATATGCATTGAGAGAAAGAAATCATTGAGTCGCGAGAAGGGTACTGATCATGCACATGAAGATGGTATTTCAAATAGCGTGGTAATATATCATCAATTTAGTATGTACATTCAAATTCAAAATCTAAATGATTTGATGCTATTTTTTTAATTAAGAACAGGCACAAAATAAGACTCGTAAAGGATCAGCAGGTGTCGTCCCCTCAATGATGCTTCTGAATACATTTCAAGAAATGCATGCACCATATACTCAGGTTCTTTTTGGTCTATTTCTACTTCAGATTTAATATGGAGTGCACACACACCCCGCTTATTTTCACATCAGTTTCTTAGGATGCACTTTTGATGACTGAAGATATGCATGAAGAAAGGCTCCATGCTGCTGAAGCTTTTGGCAATGCTGTTGTAAGCTCTTGAACTTGCAGTTAAAATGCGTTAATGGTCAACATGTTTTTGCTTTGTAGATTTCTAATGAATCTAACTATTTTAATTTTTAAGCTTATGTGAATGGCATAAAGTGAAGGTGATATGCACATATATATACGTTTTATTACATTATATCTGTAGATTTTTCATCTTTGTTCTAGTCTGAGGTGAACTATATCATACTTATCAGTTAGCCTAATTAAATTATGTCATTCCTCTGTTGCTGCAGGGATTATCTGGTCAATTGGAACGAGATGTATTATCTTCTGGTCAGTTTTTAGTGAGCTTGCCATATACTTATAAATTCTATGCTGAAGAATTTTGTTTTATTGTCTGTGTTCTATGATCAATCGTCATAACTTTGGTCAATGCCATCCTACTTTTCCGTTTTAGTCCTTTTGTACAATTTCGTGTGTTGCTAATTAAGAAACTCTCCATGTTTAGATATGTCTGCTTTTAAAGCTGCAAATCCAGATGCTGTTTTTGAAGATTTTATTCGGTGGCACTCTCCTGGTGACTGGGTGAGTGAGGACGGAGCAGAGGATTCTTCAGGTTGGCCACCCAAAGGAAGGCTTTCTCAGCGTATGTCTGAACATGGGAATATGTGGCGTAAAATCTGGAATGACGCTCCTGCTTTACCTGTCTCTGAACAGAAATTTCTGCTTGATCCTATTCGAGAGGGAGAAAAGGTAGTTTAATCTTTTCAACCCGTGCACAAGTTATTCTTCTTCTTCATGTAAGACACTGTGGTACCTACATAGGAATGAGCAGGGGGTGTTTATCAGTAACTGGTTGTTCAGTTATAGTTTGTCTACAAATTACTAAGGGCGTGTTCGATAGCTCAACTTGCAGGAGATTTTCAGCCCCACATGAAACAAGAAAGCTCATTAGCACATGATTAATTAAGTATTAACAATTACAAACATTAAAAACGGATTTATTTGATTTTTTAAAGAAACTTTTATATATAATTTTTTTTCCTTCAAAAAACACATCGTTTAACATTTTGAATAGCATGCTAACGGAAAACAAGGAAGTTGTAGTTTGGAGTTGAAAAAAGAACAGACCCTAATACTGTGTATATTGAAGGCTACAAGACTATGAAATCTATACTCCCTCAGTTTCAATTTACTTGTCATTCTAGCATCCAATTTTTTTTTTTCAAAATACCTGTCCTCACATTCCAGAGACTTTTTAGAGATGTCTTTCCCCTCCTTTCCTTCATCAATCCAGCCATACTAGTACTAGTACTCCTCACAACAAAAAAATAATGCTTGCTTTGGGAAAGGGGATGATTAGGATGTAATTAATGAGGGTAACAATGTAAATTGAAACGGAGGGAGTAGTAATTTGGCACATTTGTAGGTGGCAGATGTAATTTTGAACCGTATATGTTGTTGGAAGACTTGAAAAAAAAATGAAACCATGACTGCCATATATGAAAATAATATTTTAATGATTTCCCCGCTGAACTTTTACATGTCTGTGGTATGCAGGTAATTCATTACCTTGAAACTTTAAGACCACAGCAGCTCCTTGAGCAAATGGTCTGCACTGTGTTCAAATCGTCAGCAGACATACTGAACAGAACCACATATGGTGGCTTTAAATTAATGAAGACTAAAATGGATCAGCTATATGCTACGTTGGCTTCAACATTGAAGTCTCTCCAAGGTGCATATTTACAATACATCTGTGCATAAACTGTAGTCTGTATAGTTACATCGTGTCCAAGATGGGTACATTAATTTTCCATAGTATTGCTTTGTTCTGATGTGTTGGTTTTATATTCATCTTCTCTGCTTTATCTGGACAACTATATGATCAATTATTTTGACAGGTAAATCTGACATCAGTGATTTGTCTGATGACTTGAAGCGGCTTTGTCAAGTTTTCGAGCACATTGAGAAGTTACTTATTCTTGCTACTTCAGTCCACCGAAAACTTATTGATGCTCCACGTCTGTCTCAAGCAATTTTCGCTGACTACTTCAATTACTATCTACCAAAAATGGGCACTAGCTTGGAAAGTGTTTGCTATGAGAAGGTCAGTGCTATTCTTTACTGTTGTTTGTTACTTTACCCCTGTACGCATTTACAAAAATGAAGTCAATGGAACTAAATCGATTCAGATCACAAACTAATATATTCATTTGCTTGTGTGTGCCCCCTTCCCTTGGCCCTGTTTTGGTGGGAAGCATGGTATTTTTAAGTGATGTTTCAGTAGTCACCACTCACCACTATGCACTTCAAAAATTTCCTTCATGTATGCTGTCTACTATCGTAGCCTTTTCCCTTCAGATCAGCGATAGCCATTATGAAGGTCTTGTACAACCAAATCTAAATTTTTATTTTGTTTAATAGTGATCTGCTGCTATCTGCAGTTTTTTTTTTTTTTGCCATTGTTCAACCGGTTTCTGTGGCCTGGAGGCATTTTGTTAATATTCTTATTTTGAGTTACACTGAAGTTACTTATTTAAGCTGTATGAAATTAGTTTATTAGGGTTTCTGCAATACCTGGCCAAGTTTTTCATGTCATTTTAATAAGGTTGCCGCCTACCTTCCTGATCTCTTTTTAATCTTCGATGTAGGAATTCACTGCTAAGGAAAAGGTGGGGATGCATGAGAGAGATGCTGTATCAAATCTGTTTCCTCCTCCAACTGCTAACCAATCATGGAGGAAAGTTTTGAGCATGGGAAATCTTTTAAACGGTCATGAACCCATACAAAGAGAAATTGTATTCTCTGTCATTGAAAGAATTAGCAATGGCCACTATTCGAGCCCAACCCCATTAAGTACAGATGAACAGATTGAGACACATCGGATGTATATATCTGGGACGTCCAATGATCTTTGGGTTGCATTATCTGTGACATCCTGGGATTGAACCAGTCAGATGGTTTACCTATGGGTTGATAGGAGTATCCAGCTGAGCCCGGAAGAGTGGATCATGTGATAGCAATGATGGTTAGTGTTGTGTCTTGTTGACTGGTTAAGCAGTTGGCACAATGTTATCAGCAAAGGGAAGTATCAGTTCGTCATCCACGAAAAGTGACAACGGGGAACTTTTTTTGACAGCGGGGAACTTTATGAAAGCAGGCAGAAATTTAATCTCGCAGCAATCAGAGTTCAGAAAACAGAACCATTTTGATGGGAGTACACCGAGTAAACTATTTGATCCGTTTTTCTGTGGGGGTATGTGGGATACACAGCTGCACTTTAGATGAAGGGACTTTTTATATACGAGCTATGGATGCAATTTTCAAGGATGAGAATGTGCTAAATGCCAGCAAGAACCGTTTGTGTGAGGTTCTGTTTGCATGTTAGGTCTGTTCACTCAAGCTTTATGTGCCATTGTTTCATAGTTTCTAGAAGTGAAAGAAATTGAATTGTAATGTACACGGGGAGGTGCACGAAAAGAAATTAGTGCAAGGTCTTGCTTGCATGTGTGGTTTGTTCACTAAGCTTTTTTGTGTCATTGTTTCTTGTAGTTTGAAGGGAAACGATTGGAATTCGCTCGAGGTTACGCCATATTCTTTGGCAAACCTGAGGTTAGCCAAGGGTGCCAAACAAATAAAATTGAACTTTATTCACAAACTGAAGAGTTTTATAGAACTTGCGGTGCATTTTTCCTCAGGTATGCTAAAGCATTTCTAGTGCTAGTGCTGAGGCATGGAATGGTGAGCGGGACAAATTAATCAGCACAAATGCACAATATATAAACTTAATCTCTTTGTTATTACCATTTTTTTTTGAACGGCACTTCATTATTACTGGATGAACTATGTCCTATAGCCTAGACAGAAACATGGGACTGCCTATGTTGATATCTTCCCCCCATCATTCAATCATCATCATCTGGAACCACCTTCTTGATCTTGGCGTGGCCATCTTCATCAGGCTTAAGCCTGATATCACCGGAGTCGTAATAGCTGACTCTATTGACTGCCTCCGCTACCTCAAGCACAGTCGGAGTCGGAGGACGGGCCAGCCCCTCGCACACCTTGGGAGGATGGCCCTTGTAGGCCTTGCAGATGTAAGCCTCGAAGTTCTCGTAATCCTGAAACAAAAAAAAAAACGCTTCAGTTAATCACCGTAATTAGCAGAATCAGCACGTGTCAGTGTTGATCGCTGAACTTGTGCAGACGAATCTGGTAATTCATCTCAACACTGCGAATTCTGAAAGTTCACTGATAGAGAGCAGCAAGGGCACGCACCTCGTAGAGCGGCTGACCGTCGACGACCACCCAGGGAACGTACTTGTGGGGAGGCTGCAAAGCGTCAGTCTGTCTTCCATACTTGAGCGAGAGCTGGATCAACGGAGTAAATCAAGATGCAGACAATGCCGGTCAGGTCAGGCATTAAGATTAGAGCAATGGATGGAATCAGCAACAGGAGGAGACATGATCAATTCATTCAATTGATCATAGGATTATTTGCAATTTGCCCCCCAAGAAATGGGATTACTGGAACGGACCTGGTGGCCGCGTTCGCCCTTGTAGCAGTCGGTGACAGGCTTGGGATCGAGGTTGAGCTTCCCGAAGCAGGATTCCCACTCCCGTTGCTTGTGGTTCACCACCAGGTCCTCCACGCAGTAGATGAAACGGAAATGCACTCTCTGCAGCCAAAACACGGAGCTGTGTAATTAAAGATCGATCCGGAGCAGAAAAAAATTACAAGCTTTTCTGTGCAGAGAAGTTGCAAAGCTAGCTTTTGTCATGTGAGCATTTTTTTTACCAAATCCGGCCATGCATCGATGGCGCAAGCCTCCACGGTGTTCAGGAAGCACTCCTCGCTTCCATGCTGCAACAAACCCAAACACCTCAACAGCGTCAGAAATATTCAGTATCAGTTCATCACCACCACTACCAAAAAATCATCGCACACAGAATTGGAATTGGCAGGTGCTAAGCTCAAGAACCGAACGCCCAGGATTCAAGCGAAACTTGTGAATGTGAGCAGGGGAATCGAAAGGAGACGGCGATAAAGAGGAGCGGATCGGGGGGACCTCGACCTGGCAGGAGATTTTGCCGTCCTTGACACGGGCGTTGCCGTAGGGGACGAGGGAGAGGTCGACGGCGTCGAGGAGGCCATCCCTGAAGACCTTGGCGAGGCTGCCCACCACGAACATCGCCGAGTAGGGGCACAGCGACTCGTAGTAGAGCGCCACGTCCACCTTCCCGCCCTTCTTCCCCTCGACAGCGCCGGCGGCGAGCAGGAGGATCGCCGCGAGGAGGAGGGCAGGGCGGAATCGGCGGATGGCCGCCATGGATGGGGATTGCTCCGGCGATCACCGGCGGCCGTGGTGGTGGTGGTCAGGAGAGGGGAGGTGTGGGTGCATTTTATCGACGATGATTAGTGGCGTAAAGTCAAGGGTAAAAGTCAAAAGCGGTTTGGCCACGTGTGCAACGAGGTGCGAGAGTGCGTGAGTAAAGTGGAACAAGACATGGGATGACTGGGGTCCAGGTTGGATTAGTTGGGCCCACGTGCAGCGACCACCATGTGACCGCAGGCGCAGGGTACGGTGCTGTTTGTGAGATGGGGATCGGGGTGGCAGACAAAAATATACTATTTGCATTTAGTAACCATCTATATGTACTCCCTCCTTTAAAAAAAAAAGAAAAAAAAAGACAAACTATGGGTTTCCGTGCCAACGTTTGACTATCTGTCTTATATGAAATTTTTTTTATAATTAGTATTTTCATTGTTGTTAGATGATAAAACATGATTAATACTTTATGCGTGACTTATCTTTTTAATTTTTTTTTCATATTTTTTCAAATAAAACGAACGGTCAAACGTTGTACACGGAAACCATGGTTTGTCTTTTTTTTTTTTACGGATGGAGTACTTAATTGCATATGTATGATGTATCTATCTATCTATCTATATATATATATATATATATATATATATATATATATATATAGAGAGAGAGAGAGAGAGAGAGAGAGAGAGAGATAAATAGACACACACACACACAATAGTAATTACACTACTCTAAGAAGATTTACACATTATTTGGGGGATAACAAGTAGATATAGCCATTCAATTACTACTAGTCGACTATTTAGTTCTGAAACAAATCGACTATTCAACACATGATGGTAGATATGTGGACTGAAAAACATGAACACTAGTAATTCATAACACGTGGCCGTTAAAGCTAGCTACCGAAAGGTTTAGCTCAGCTAAGCCAAGTTCAAAATGAGCCGATCCAATCTACAAGCAGCATATGCGCATGAGATAAAATTGTTTCAATAGCGCACAATTAAACTTCTGTGACGTGTGCTATTGAATTAGCAAATCTTTCCATAAAACAGAAACCTAAAAAGAAAAAACTTCACTAGTAATAGCATAGTGCGAGAGTGGAGACTCTGTGAAGTCCGTCCATTTTGTTACTGTATCATCAAATCCACTCCCGCTTAGAATGATCAGTAAACCCGACTAATTCTTACTTATTTAACCTCGGTGCAAGCAATAAAGCTACAGAATTCAATCCGGTGTTTCGACGATAATTTTTCAGATGTTATTGCGCGATAAACGTTTGAGAGAAGGGAAACACAACACAAGAAAGGGAACAGAAGAGAGAGAGAGAGAGAGAGAGAGAGAGAGAGAGAGAGAGAGAGAGAGAGAGAGAGAGAGAGAGAGAGAGAGGAAATAGTGACAAACAGGACAGCAACCGCGACTGATTTTGAGCTCCACCCACCATGGGCGCTGTCATGCCACGTTGCCACGACTGCTACCGTGCACCGGTGCAAGAATTTCTTGGGCAAGAGCCAAATCGATTGACTATTGAATCGACCGGCTTAAATAATTTAGCATGAACCGATCGAACGATTCGTCTACAATTTCGTGGAAGAAAAAAAACCAGCCAAGGGGAAGCGCGCGAAGCTTAGCGATCAAACCTGGCAAGAGATGGTGTTGTTGGCGCCGACGACGTGGGCGTTGCCGTATGGGACGAGGCGGAGGTCGACGGCGTCGACGATCCCGTCCTCGAAGATCCCGGCGAGGTGGTTGACGATGAACCGCGAGCAGTACGGGCACAGCGTCTCGTAGTAGAGCGCGAGTGGCACCTTCTCCCCCGCCGCCGCCGCCGCGGCGCACCCCGGCAGTAGCGCGCCGGCCACGACGGCCGCGGCCGACACGAGCGCGACGAGCAGGAGGCGGCCGCGTGGACCGGCGGCCATGGCGAGATCTAGCTCCGCGGAAGCAGGCTCGCGCTCGTGCTCGCGCGTCTCGTCTTCCTCAAGCTAAGCTCTCGGCTTGATCGGCAACAAGTGGGGGGAGCAACAAGCCATCCGTGGACTTGTAGATAATAATTAAACAAGTGAGCAACGGAGAGGACGCTGTGGTGCAGTGGCGCTGTGTGGCGTTGGCCGCTGCACGTGGAGGCCGCGGGACGGCGGCGATGTCTCGGCGCAGCGGTTGGGCTTGGGCCGCGAGCGTGTTCGGCGTCGTCCGTGGGCTGGGCGTGGCGTGGCCTGGTGTTTGGGAGATACAAGTTTGGGCGGGAGACGCAAACCAAATAATGAGATCACTCACTCAACAGGATTGTAACTGACACTATCAAGATCAGATATTCAGATGTTACAAAAAACAGAGGAAACTTGAAGAGGATCACAAGATTGATCCATTTATTTCACTGATATACTCTTACTTACATAGATAGTTACATTAACTAGTACCAAGAATTGGTTTGACTGATTGAGCCATACAGACATACGGAAGCTTGGTGTTTATATACAGGGGAAGATCTACAGAGAGTTGCAGAGGTGAGGCAAATAAGCTAATGGATCTTCGGATGCACAGTTAATTTACAGAGGTAAATTATTCTAGGCCTAAAGCCTCCCAAGGGACGACATGAGTGAGCTCTTCTCGGCCATAGAGGATACGTGGCTTGCTCGGCTCCGCAGACTCAGGATCGGATGCATCTTTTTCTGCCTCTGCTTCAGAATCTCTGGGTCCTCGATGACATGGATCTTGCGCCGCTTCTTCGCCTCCTCTGCTTCTTGGTAGCCTTCACGGAGCTTCCGCTTTGCAGCGGCGATCTTCTCGTCTTCGTTGCGGAGCTCGATGCCCTCGCGGCGGCCGGCGCTGGCAACGACGGCCGGCGACTTCTTCGGCGGAAGCGCTGGTTCCTTTGGCTTTGCAGCTGCGCCCATGTCGGCCATCTTGCGCCTCTTCTTCGCCTCCTCTGCTTCTCGGTAGCCTTCATGGAGCTTCCGCTTTGCAGCGGCGATCTTCTCTTCGTCGTCGTTGCGGAGCTCGATGCCCTCGCGGCGGCCGGCGCTGGCAACGACGGCCGGCAACTTCTTCGGTGGAAGCGCTGGCTCCTTTGGCTTTGCAGCTGCGCCCATGTCGGCCATCTTGCGCCGCTTCTTCGCCTCCTCTGCTTCTCGGTAGCCTTCATGGAGCTTCCACTTTGCAGCGGCGATCTTCTCGTCGTCGTTGCGGAGCTCGATGCTCTCGCGGCGGCCGGCGCAGGCAACGACGGCCGGCGACTTCTTCGGCGGAAGCGCTGGATCCTTTGGCTTCGCTGCTGCGCCCATGTCGGCGCTCTTGTGCCGCTTCTGCGCCTCCTCTGCCTCTTGGTAGACATCAAGCCGCTTTGCAGCAACCGTCAGCTTCTCGCCGTCAATGTGGTAGGGCTTGATACCATCGCGGCGGCCGCCGGCGCGGCCAGTGACAGCCGGCAGCTTCTTCGGCGGATTCGCCTTTGTCGCTGAGCCCATGTCGGGCGCCTTCACTCGAGCGCCAGCAACAACTGGAGGAGCACTCGTCTTGGTCAGCGATGGCTGTGATGTCTTCGCCAGATCGACGCGGCTGCTGCAATCGGCGGTAGCCTTCTTCTTGAACGGCGGCGCCGGTGATGCGTGCTTCACCTTCATGTCGAGATCAGGGGAGGCACGCACACGCTGATCGGCCTCGATCACGATCCGCTTGGGCAGCGACGTCGGTGTTGCGTGCTTCACCTTCGTGTCGAGATCAGATGAGGCACGCACACGCCGATCGGCCTCGATCCGCTCCGGTGTCTGGGACAGCTTCTCCATCGCGATCCCGATCCTGACAAGCTCGCGCCTGACGGCCACCCTCCACCCGCGGACGATGTCGGTGGCGAGGCCGCGGATCCGCTCCGACTCGTGCCTCCTCAACGCCCCGACGATCCCGGCGAGGTCGGTGGTGGCCAGCGTCCTCGCCGTCACGGGCACCAGCCGCAGCGTCAGGAGGGACTCCGCCATCACGTCGTCGAGCACCAAGCAGAGCCCCTCCGCCTCCGCCTCCCCCTCGGCGCCGCGCAGCATCTCCACGATGCGTCCCCTCGCGCGGCGGAACTCGTCGCGGGAGAGGCCCCCCGGGTCGGCGGCCTCGATGGCGCCGTCGACGGAGGCGAACGCGGCGAGGAAGGGCTTCCACCGCCGCAGCGGATTCCGCGCGGCGGCCATGGCGGCGGCGCGCGGGTGGGGGGCGCGAGAGAGCACAAACCCTAGGGCTGGTGGTGGCGGCGGAGCAGAGCAGAGCGGAGGCGGAGCACGAGATCGCCCCAAACCCTAGGGCTGGTGGTGGCGGCGGAGAGGAGGCGGAGGCGGAGGACGAGAGCGCCCCAAACCCTACGGCTGGTGGTGCGGCGGCGGCGGAGGAGATCACGAGAGCGCGAAAACCCTAGGGCTGGAGAGGTGGACGGGAGGGAGGAGACAGGGGATGAAAAAGCCGTGGCGGCGGATGGATCGCGTCCAATTCGTCCCCTCGCTCGATTTATAGAGCGCCGAGGCGGGAGTCCTAGTGCGCGCGATGCGGGGTTCGAGTCCGAAACGGATTCGTGGCGGTTGGGACAGAGTTACTGTTTGGTGTGCACTGTGCAGATTGCCTCCTTGAGAAATTTGATTAATGGAAATGGAATGTACTCGCTGGAGAGGTTGTTCCCTCGTTTATTTTTTTTTCAAATTCAATATAAACAATTATAAAAATATTCTGGAAAAATTGCAATGTAGAGTAGATTGAAATCTATTGGTCCAAAAAAAAAAGTTCAAATTCAATCGACACAATAAGAAATAACAAAGATAAATTCGGATGTGAACAATACACTGCTATTCATACGCTGAGTTTACCATTTTTATATCTCAATGGGTAAGTTAAGTTTGGACCTAAAATATTGTGAAGCCTTAAATATGTGGTATGTTTGTTGTTAAATTTTTCCATAATTTTTCATAACCGTTTGGATGGTTTTCGAACATACGGTGGGACATTCCCTCGAGGGAGCAAAATAGTTTCACTTCATTATGGAAATGGATTCTAATATCTCAAGGTGATGTTCTCTCATATACTTTTTTCAAATTCAACAAAAATCATTATAAAAATCTTGTGAGTTTACCATTTTTATATCTCAATGTGTGAGTTAAGTTTGGACCTAAAATCTTGTGAAGCTATACAAATATGTTGTATGTGTGTTGTAAAATTTTTTCAGAATTTTTTATAACCGTTTGGGTGGTTTACAAACATACGATGGGACATTTCCTCGAGGGAGCAAAATAGTTTCCCTTAATTATGGAAATGGATTCTAATGTCTTGAGGTGATATTCCCCCGTTTACTTTTTTAAAATTCAACATAAATCATTACAAAAATTTATAGAAAAAACTAACAATGTAGAGTAGATTGAAATCTATTGGTTCACAGAAAATTAAGGTCAAATTCAATCCACACATTGAGAAACAACAAAGAAATTTTCGGGTGTGAACAGTACACTACCATGCATGCTATTGCTCGATTGCTTGATTTGATTTCAATGTTACGACTTTCAAACGATGAATTGATTACTTTATGAAATGACATTGAACGCGTAATTAATTAGCTCAGGAAGTGTCCAAGAGTAGAGCAGAGTAACTGTCTAACTGGCAAGCCCGTAGTTAAATCGAAATGGGGATCGGATATAATCGTAGTCTCGTAGACACCAGAACGGATCGATGAGTTAATACGCACGAGTTAAGTATAATTAGCAACCCCAGCCGAGCTCCGACGAGGAGGAGCCGCCACCGCCGCCGTAGTATGCCGGGTCGGCGAGCATCTCGGCGATGAGCTGGTCCACCCCCATCTCCTTGTCGCAGTCGAGGATCGCGTCAATGAACGCCGACGCAGCCCCGGCGCCGTCGTCCGTGCCGGCGCCGACGCCAGCTGATGCACCGTCGACGTCACCGAACGCGCGGCCTCCGCCCACGACGGCAGTCGCCGCCGGTGCTGACCCCTCCTGATACTGGCCGAGAGCAGCCTGCGGCGCCGGCGCGTCGGCGCCGTGCCCCGCGGCGTCGTCGGCGAGGAAGTCGCTCCAGTTGAGCTGCAGATGCTGCGAGTCGGGCGACGCGGGCGCGTCGGCGTCGACGTGCGTGACGACCTGCTGCTGCTGATGCTGATGCTGCAGGGCGGCGAAGTACGGCGCGTCGTGGAACACCGGGAGGCAGGGCGGCGGCGCGGCGCCGGCGGCGGGAGGGGGGCGGATGGCGAGCGTGCCGATGCTCTGCATGAGGTCGGCGATGGGGCGGTGGGTGATGGGGTCGATGCCACGCTGCCGCAGCTTCTTGCTCAGCTTGGTGTTCCAGTAGTTCTTCACGTCGTTGTCCGTCCTCCCCGGCAGCTGGTTCGCGATCAGCGACCACCTGCCAATCACGCGCATTTGATTGATGCACGCGCACAACTTTGGTTATACTCCCTCGGATGTTTTTGACTTAGATAAAAGTTAAACTGCTTCAAGTTTGATTAATTTGATAGAAAAAATAATAATATTTTTGACTTAAGATAAATTTATTATAAAAATATATTTTATTATTAATTTAATAAAACTAATTTGGTAATGTAAATATTACTATATTTGTCTATAAACTTAGTCAAATTTAAAACAGTTTAACTTTGATCAAAGTTAAAATATCTTATAATCTGAAACGGATGGAGTAGAAATTACATGCATGCTCAATGATCTCAGTCCAAATTGTGTGTTGATGTGTCAAACTAGCTCCCATTTCTGATTGAGGGTAGAGATGATCTCGCAGCATTTGTTTAGAGTGTAAAATAACTAGTGCTAGTATTAACTAAGTTAATTAGTAGTACAGTACTAATTAACTGTGAATAGTGGCGTTACATGCATTGTGTGTGTATCAGTTTGTTACCGCTCAGGGATCTTGATTATTTTGTCATGCCATTTTCGTTCACATCTAGGTTGATTCCATAAAATTTTTAGAACATTAAATGTAAATGCTAATTGCATCAGCATCATACTGCCAAAGTACATTAGAGCAGCCAATTATGTGCACTAGCTATTTATCTCATGTTAGGATTCAAGGGAATTACTCCCTCCGTCTTATTATACGTGCAGCTATAAGTTTACGTGCCCAACATTTAATTGTCCGTCTTATTTAAAAAGTTTATGAATTTTTTTTAAAAGTTAAGACACGCATAAAGTACTGTTCATATTTTATCATCTAATAACAATAAAAAAAATACTAATCATTAAAATATTTTAAATAAGATTGTTAGATAAAGTTGGACACTGAAACCTATAATTACGCTTATTATAGGATCAAGGTAGTTCGCAACATGCTTAGCATTACACGCAGAAATCAGATACAAATCACGAACACCGATTCGCCAAATCTGAGTCGATGACAAACTAGCACGTGGATTATCAATTCGAAAACAGCAACGACAGATCAATCAAGCAGGAGGGTCCAACGGACGGAGTGTATTACACCACTCACCACACATGCAAAAGCATGGTGACGTCTGAAATGACGAGATAACGGGACAAGCTGAGCGTAACACGATGATATACCTGCTGCCCAGCATGGCGTGGAGGGTGACGATGAGCTCTTCCTCCTCCTGCGTGAAGTTCTCGTGCTTCAGGTTGGGCCTCAGGTAGTTGGTGTACCTCAGCCTGCAGCTCTTCCCGCACCTCTTCAAACCTGCACCCACATCACCCCCCATGCAATTTTTACAGAACAAAACAAAAGGGAAAAAAAAGTGATAAACAATGACACCATATTTTGATCTGATCTGATGTGATCAAATGCGTCTCTAATTGCAATCTCGATCCCATCGGCAGCAGCAGCAACGGCGATCGATATCGTTGATTTTCACGACCTGCTCGCTGAGGAACGGAGGTCCAGTTGCCGGTGCCGTGGGTGGAGGTGTACGCCAGCAGCTTGGCGTCCTCCTCCGCCGTCCACGGCCCCTTCTTCACGTTCGCCTTGTCGCAGCACGGCGGCCGCCCCATCTCCCCCTCTCAGCTCCTACCACGGTGAGCTCAACAACAACAACACCAACTCTGACGAGATCACTGCAAAAGGCCGGAGCAAGCAACGGCACATATAGACAGGATCTCACTGACGAGGAAGGCATGGTAAAAACATGGCAGGAGGCAGGCGAAGCGAAGCCATGCGACGGAGGCGTGAGCCCGGTAACAATAATCACGCACAAATGGTTCTTTTTTTTTAGATCAGCAGCGACGCATGCAGGGGGGGCAGGATTAGTTTATGGGCGCTGGTTAAGTTTATAATGACCAGCGCCTGCAACTGCTTCCTTCCGGCAAATCAACAGTTTTACCAGGGGGCGTCGAGTTAATTTAGCTGGCTGATGGAGGTTGGTAAGGCTTATAATCTAATGATGGGATTTGATGATGGTGTTTAAGAATTTTCACGGGTTCGACGTGATGATTTATCACGACTTCGACGCCGCGGAATCGGTTTTAGTTTAGGCTCGGAGATGTGTTGGGGGGGTGATCACTTATCAGGTCTCGAGCGCTGCTACGAGCTTTCTGAAGATGCGATCTGGACATCTGGTCATGTCGTTACGATAAAAAGTTGGAGGATTAATCAAATTGTAAGCATCTGTCCAGAACTGAAATGATGCTAAAAGTTGGAGAATTAATAAAGTTGTAAGCATCTGTCCAGAACTGAAATGAGGATCAGTTGCAACAAAAATGAGAGAAAAAAAAATCAACAAATTTTATCAGAGCCAGGTTTCGATCCTGGGACCTGTGGGTTATGGGCCCACCACGCTTCCGCTGCGCCACTCTGATGGTTTTGTCCATAGAGATATGGCAGATTTATTTACTGTTGGTAGTGCGCTTCACACAAGTTTCAAACATCAGGCGTGAATATACATCAGCGATCCTACTCGCACAGTCGCACTTGCTAGATGGAATACGTATATAGATATGATGTATCCGCCATACTGACTTTTTTGGGAGACAAGTCTTTTGATTTTCCCCAAAACAAAACGGGTTGATTTGGTCCCATATGCTAACAAAGTTTTTTAATCTTAAAAGTTGGATAAGGTAACAAACAAAACAGTTAGTTCAATTTTAAGAAATGCTACCAAGATTTCCACCTGAACCGGTCCGGTGCAGCCGCAGATCGCAGCGCAGCTGTGCGCGTTGAAAAATGGCCTCTGCTGGGACGTGCAGATCGGACGGGTACGATTTGCACATGCAGCGCATCGGACGGATCAGCACTCAGCACGGCATCCGCCGCTCTACTCCTGGACCGACCGACCGACCGACCGTGACCGAGACCAACAACCCGGTCAAGCGAGCGTCCACAATTTTTGCGGCGGAAATCCACACCGACACGCCACGCCGCGCGTGCGATCCACCGTCCGCCCCCGACACCCCCACCTCACCGGCCACGGCCAGGATCGCGAAAAAACGATAGAAAATCACGGGGATTTTCGAGCCAACCGGCGCGCGCCAGGGCGGCTACGCGGCCCCAGGTTCTAGCGCGAGGTCGCCCACTACGCCAAGCCCCGGCCACCTCCGCGGGACGCGTGTCTCCGCTCCCACGCCGCTGTCTATATATGAACCGCCTCCCCTCCGTATCCGGCGTGGCAAGGCACGGCACGTCTCGTCCTGAACTCCTCCTGATCTGCTCGCACGCACGGCGCGACGGTTGCAGCTACGGCACTTCGCCACAACTGTGAGAGGGAGAGACACTGTGAGAGAGAGCGCGAGATGGAGGATTCGGTGGGCGAGGAGGAGAGGAGGGAGCAGCAGCAGGAGGAGACCATGTCCATGGCGCAGGGGAAAGAGCGTGGCGGAGAGGAAGACGCCGGTGGTGGTGGGGAGAGTGGGTTCCTGACCACCATGGCGTCCAAGATCGGCGCGGCCGTGTCCGGCGCTGACGGGAGCGGCGGCGCCGAGGAGGAGGGTGGAGAAGGCGATGGCGACGTGAATGTGGGAGGCGGTGTGGAGACGGATGGGGACGGTGGGTTTCTGACCACCATGGCATCCAAGATCGGCGCGGCCATGTCCGGCGGTAATGGGAACGGCCGTGCTGAGGAGGAGGAGGGCGGTGAACACAATGGCGATGAGAATGTGGTTGCTGCTTCTGGTGGTGGCGAGGAGGAAAGGAAAAGGAAGAGAGATGGCAATGGCGGCGGCGGCATCTTCAGCAAGCTCATGTCCGGCTCGCCGGACTCCTTGCCGGCCTCGGGTAAGAACTAAGAACACCTTTTGTTCTTTCTCTGTTCTCCGATGGATCTCATCAGAAGAAAATATTCACCTTTTTTAAGCTGACCATATCAAAATTCGTCTGGGGACAGTGGAGGCAGAGGAAAATGAAAGAGAAGGATGCGACCAGGGAGGCGAGAAGGCTGGGATTCTGAGCACCGTCGCTTCCAAGATTGGCATCGCCATGTCCGGTGCTGATGGCCGCGAGAACCACGGCAACGAGGACGATGCTAAGATCAGAAATGGCAACGCTGCTGACCATGGCAAGGCTGAAGAGAAAAGGGATGAGCCGAATGGCGGTGGAATAGTGAAGCAGATCATGTCAAACCTCCCTGCAGGTACAGTTCATCATTGTCAATCTCTTGCTGCAATTTGTACATGTTCTGATCATAAAACCGATCTACAGCAAGTTCTCTGCTTCCGTCAAATTTTGTTTCTTTGATTGGTTGAATTAACGAGACCGCTATTTTCTGTTTCTCCCTGTGCTGCAGATGATCAGGCGCCGGATGCTGAAGAGGCGTCCCTGCTCATCGCTATTATCGACGACTAGCCAGCTCGTCGACCAGAAAGCTGATGTAGTTCTAGATTCTGGCGTTTGTTTTAGTAATCCTAGATTCTCTCTTCATGTGGATACATCGTAGTAGTACATGTAAACACCAGAGAGACATTGGTTATATATAGACTGGACGCCGTTTCTTGACAAGTGTCTGTAATCACATTTGTCTGTAAGAAGGGATTTATATTTTTGGAGTTTCATTGTTGTGCTTTTATACTTGGGAATGAAAGAGCATTGTTTACTTATTTGGCAGAGTAAAGTGCATTGGCGGTCCTTAAACTTGTAGGGTTGTGTCATATAGGTCCCTAAATTCTCAAAATGCATATCCAGGTCCTAGAACTTGTCAAGGTGTATCATCTAGGTCCCAAATTGACACATCCCCTCTAGAATCCTATGTGGCGCTGATATGGCAATGCCACATGGACATGACGTGTCCTTTTCTTTTTTTTTTCTTTTTTCTTTTTCTTTTTCGTTTTCTTCTCATTCTTCCTTTTTTTCCCTTTTTTCTGCATGGGTCACATAGAAAGGAGAAGAAAGGGGAAAAAGAGAAGAAAAAAAGAAAAAAGAAAAAAAAAATTAAATGGGCCCCATTTATCAGTCAAAATAATGTCATGTCCGTGTGACATGACACATCAATGCCACATAGGATCCTGAAGGGGTTGTGGCAATTTGGGACCTAGATGACACACTATGACAAATTCTAGGACTTGGATATGCATTTTGAGAGTTTATGGACCTAGATGACATACCCCTACAAGTTTAAAGACGCCCGTACACTTTACTCTATTTGGCAACAAAACTATTCAGAGTCACGGAATTGTCACTAAGAAACGGGTCAAGAAAGTACAAGTGCTATCTCAAGTATATAAAGATGGTACAACACTTGATCAGTGTTCTGAACAGTCCCAAATATCGTGCCACTAGATTGTCAGACAATAGATCAGTAGAAATAAAGAATTGGAGTAACGTGAGACAAGATAACAGCAAATTGGATACGGATTGCGAAGATAAATATAGCAGCCGTATAGTGAGAATGATACAACATATTGCAGAACTCAAAACCATTGCCTCGTATTAAAGGTCGATTTCTGTAGACCTCGCAGTTACTCCAGTTATGCCTACCATGTTGGGTAACACTCGTAAAATAACAAAATCTTGGTCTGCAAGACCTCAGAAGACATGTCAATGAGTGAATGTCTTAAAATGACTAAAGGTTGTTTTGGATGCTGAATCCACCTCTTGGTTGCTAACCTGCTACAAAAAGCTTCACTTGAAATTAACGGCGAATAAGGCGATAAAATGTTTCCACCAATGATTCAAGAATGACGATCCAAGAACTTCTCAATCATTACCGAGAAGGTGGCAAACCCCACACATCCAACACATGTAGCTTTAGGACCACCTACAAGAAAGCACAATTTCCCTTGGGGGTGAATTCTCAAACAAAGTTGAAGCAAGAACACACTTATTGTCATCATTTCGCCAACAACTGTTTATAAGCCGTAATGCTTATTAGTGACCAAAAATAATTTGTGGATATATATGTGTTCCTAGCGAACGCTTGAAAATAAACTATGATGAAAAACTATCAAAATCAAAATCAACTCTATACATATGAACTTGATACTGCTGAATCAATTAGTAGTTGCCCATATCATGTTGCTCCCCTCATTTGTGATTACAAGCTTAGACAAACCAAAGGTACCATAGCTAAAGACAAATGTACTGTAGCTAACAGGTCATAAGCAAAAAGCTAGAGGCAACAAGTGATAAAATAGAAGTATATCCAACTTCTGATTATGGTCAGAAATATATCATTTGTTCAACTATGAATTTTAAGAATATGATCAGCCAGCTAGGAAAAAAACAGATATGATATAAAAGATGTGGCTCCTTTTCAACCTATCCTAAAACAACTCTAGTGATTACAACTATTTCATGAAAATTGTCTTGGGGGATCTTCCCTTAGTTGTTCCTTTGTGAAATTTAAAGTAAAATTATTAATTGTGGGCTAATTTGCTGAAATAAAAAGAATACCTTTTGCAGCTAAAGCCCCTCCTGTGACACAGCCAGCCACCGCTGAATTGGTAGTGTCATGCTTTGCGCGAGCCTACAAGATCACAAGTCAGAGTAGAGTAAGTAAAAAAAATTATAGTAACATTCGTAATGAAATAAAATAAACATCTACCTTCTCTATGACACATTCAGCGGCAGAGAAAATCAGGCCCATGACTGCAAAGGTTTTGGCATTGCTTATACTTCGCCTACCCATCTGTTTAGCTTGGTATACTATTTGTTGTCTTGCTGTCATCTCCTCTGCTGTAATTGGGTTTTCCAAAGCTCCAAAGAATAGCCCCATAAGCACGCCTAAACCACCCCCTATTTTGAATCAAATGACCGCAGAGTTAATACCACATTACCATTTATCCATTGGGTAAAATATGAAAAATGATACACTTCAAGCTAGGATCTAGCAAGTATCACTGAATATTGAATGATGTTATCTTGAGAGTATCAACTACCAACTGCCAATCTGACAGCAAATACCGATATTTTGATGGACAAGAGCTAAAGAGCAGTATGCACCTAACTGGTTCTGTCCTACAAACCAATTTCGATGATACACACATTGTGCGTAAAAGAACATGATACAAGGAAAAACACAAAGTATACATTTCTACATTACAGAACTTATCCGGTTTTCATATAGATCAAACAGGAGGTTCAAGAAGCCGTTGAAAAGCTACATATTGTTCAAGTGGAATATTATCAATCTCATGAAAAGACAGTTGACTACAAGAGGCATTCACCTCACACTGCAGTACAAAAAAAAAGCTAGGCATCGATAAAGAATTATATTTAATTGTAATTTGTCACATTCCAAAAGCAACAATACACATGAAAAAACTGGTCTTTTTTCCAATCGAGTAAACATGACAAATCCCTACAAGAAAAAATGCACAAGTATCCGAGGCAAGCTCAGTTGAAACATATGCTTCTCCATCATCTCTATTTTACACGAAAGTTCACCAAGATATATCACAGGTTTTCTTCTATAGTATCACCTCCTGAGCTCGATTGTGAATCATGGGTACCTAAAATTTCTAAAGTAAAGCACACAGAAACAGCAAGGACAAGTGAATCAACCTACTATCAACACACAAAGTTCATCTCTTGCAGATTGCAAATTCATCGAAAGAAGAAAAACAAATTTACCCTCCTGCAAAACTGGCATCCTGTTTGCTCCTAGCTATTTGGAGAAACAAACAAAAAACCAACCAAGCTCTACAATATAAGATCCGTACTATAGCACGGTAATGTTCTTCAACAGACAAAACAAAACCCCGCCTTTCAGCAAACTCCATCATAGATTCCCAAGTTGATATAGTCAATGTACCCAGTCCGAGCACAAGCTTGCATTTTCCAAATCAGCAGTAAATCAATAAAAAAAAATTTCAGATGTTGAGTAGCCGGGATCTTCTTGCTTCTAGCTATTTGGACAAACAAACGGCCAACCAAGCTCTATGGTATAAGGTTCGAATTAAACTGCAGTAGCAGTGATTTCATCAGATAAAACAAAACCCCACTCCAAAGGTTCCCAAGTTCATATGTTCCAATATAGCCCAGTCCAGCACAAGCTTGCACTTTCAAAATCAAATATGTACATGGAAAATAAGAGATGGAGGCAGGAGCTCCGCAGTGTTAGTGGATACGCATGACGCCACCGACGGCACTGCAGACAGCGCAGTTGTTCCAGACAAAGCAAAACCTTCAAATTCCATCATAGATTACCAAGTTCATAGTCTCAATGTACCCCAGTCCGAGCACAAGCTTACGCTTTCTGAATCAGCGGTAAATCCTACAGAAAATAATTTCACCTTGCAGAAGTGACACCCTCTTGCTTCTAGTTATTTGGACAAACAAACGAACGAACGATCAACCAAGCTCTACGATTATAAGCTCGAACTAAACCACGGTAATGCATGCGGTGATTTCAATACACAAAGCAAAAACCCTTCTCTTAGCAAATTCCATCATAGTCCCAATATTACCCCTATCCCAAGCACAAGCTTGCATTTTCCAAATCAAATTTAAACTCCTAGACAAAAGCTTCCTGTCTTCGTGGAAAATCAATAAGATATGGAGCAGTGGTTACCCATGACTCCACTGACGACGCTGCGGACGGCGCAGTTGTTCCAGATGTCCTGCCCCTTGATCTCCTCCGGCGTCGGCAACCGGATCGGCTCCACCACGGCCGTCTGGCTAGCCGAAGCGCCGTCCGCCCCCGCGGCCGGCTCCGGCGAAGCCATCTCACACTACTACAGCCTAATCCCCCCTCCTCTGCGATGACGGTGGAGCTAGGTCGCCGCGCGGAGGGTTCTCGAGAGAGATGGAGAGGCAATGAGGTCGCCGTGGAGAGGGAACCAACAACAAACAACCAGCTGCCTCGCCGCCGCCGCCGCCGCCGCCGCTAGCTCTCTCTTCTCTTCGCTTCTTTCCTCCCTTCCAAGGCAAGAGGCGGCGGCATGGGAGAGGAAGGAGATTCGGATCGGTGTGATGCCCTCGCGTGACACGCACGAGCTGCCGCCTTTGCCGGTGCCGGACACTGCATTACGCCAAACGTAAAGCTATTACGTATTATAGAAATACGCAAACGATCTCTAGTTACGTATTATGTCAAGGGAAAGGCGTATCGAGATTCGAGATGAGACGTGATACGATACGATACGAGAGAGAGACCAGACCACCCGCGTGAACCGTCCGATCCGTCGTTCGTCATCAGGTTTTTCCTCCCGAGCTCGAGAGGCGCAACAAAAGCCATCTCTCCTTTTCCCCCGCCGCCGCCGCCGCCTCTCTCCGTCTGAAAACACCCAAAAACCCAACCAAACCCTAGATCCGCCGCCTCCCCGCTCCTCCGTCTCCGACTCCGGCGACGCCCGCGCGGCCACGATGCCGAACCTCGAGTGCCGGATGTACGAGCCGCGGTTCCCGGAGGTGGACGCGGCGGTGATGATCCAGGTGAAGCACATCGCCGACATGGGCGCCTACGTCTCCCTCCTCGAGTACAACAACATCGAGGGCATGATCCTCTTCTCCGAGCTCTCCCGCCGCCGCATCCGCTCCATCTCCTCCCTCATCAAGGTCGGCCGCCAGGAGCCCGCCATCGTGCTCCGCGTCGACCGCGACAAGGGCTACATCGACCTCTCCAAGCGCAGGGTCTCCGAGGAGGAGGCGCACGCCTGCGAGGACAGGTACAACAAGTCCAAGCTCGTCCACTCGATCATGCGCCACGTCGCCGAGACCCTCGGGATCGACCTCGAGCCGCTCTACCAGCGCATCGGATGGCCGCTGTACCGCAAGTACGGCCATGCCTTCGAGGCCTTCAAGCTCATCGTCGCCGACCCCGATGCCATCCTCGACTCACTCACCTACGAGGAGAAGGAGACCGGCGCTGACGGACAGGAGGTTGTGTTCGTTTTCTTCTCAAACCATCAAAGACTTGCTGCTCATGCCTGCGCTTGCTTAAATGTGTAATTTTTTTTGTGCTATACCATGAACCATAGATATGAGAAGTAGTAGTTTGTGTGTCTAGACGGCTTAGGCTGATATCTTGTGCTGAATTCACTTAAATCTTATGTGTTTATGCATCTGTACTACTAGTCTACAGTAATCTTTCTGGGGTAATTAGGTAGTACTTCCTTTTTTAGATGAACTTTATTTGGCATTATTGAATTTGCCCCATATGGAACTTATTTGCTGTGGGATATAGTAAGTAGTTAGTGGCTTATAGTATATAATGTGGAGTGGTTAATCCTGTCTTGGTGGGTCTTGTTTTATTGATCATGCCTATGTAGTTTGATGGTTGGGCGATTTTTATACCTTTTACATTGTGTATGTAGTTCAAGCATTTTATATTGGCTTACACTCTCTAGAGTTTACAGGAGACAATATGTGGTTGTATAGTTTAGAGTTGGTAAATGTGGTTAATAGCTGTTCACGCATTATACATGACAAGAAAAAATTGGCGCACTGACTTGTGTTCTAACTATTTTTGCAATTGTATTTGAACTAACATCATAACAATACTGTGTTGTTGAAATGCATTCTAAAACTAACTTTGGCATGATTACATTTTAAGTATTTTTTTCCTTACAATATGCTTAAATTTACTGGCAGGTGACTAAGGTGGTGCCTGCTGTCACCCCTGAGGTTAAGGATGCCCTAGTTAAGAATATAAGGAGGAGGATGACACCACAGCCACTTAAGATCCGTGCTGATGTTGAGATGAAATGTTTCCAATTTGATGGGGTGCTTCACATTAAGGTTCTTGTTATCCCTGTGTCTTCCCTTAGGGTTTACTGAAACTTTTTCTTATGGCTAATTCTGGTTGGTTTTGCAGCAAGCCATGAGGAAGGCTGAAGCTGCTGGTAATGATAATTGTCCAGTGAAGATTAAGCTAGTTGCACCTCCACTTTATGTGCTGACCACACAAACTCTTGACAAGGTCGGTGCTTTCTTCAGCTTATTTTGTTGATTATCGTGGATCTTGCATTGTGCTTGACCGATAAGATGGACTAATTCACATTTAGACCATAGTTGTACATAGAATTTGAGATTTAAGAATCACGTCATATGTTGAGATATCAGATGAAGTGCCCTCCTCTACAACAAAATGCTGATGCCACTGTCCTCAATTTTTATGTGTATGGTCATTGTTGACAGCACATGTTTCATATTGATCCCCATCTAGCATCTATGCCATAATGTGGAAATGACTTGGAGTCATACTATATGCTGAGTTTTCCACTGCTTCAGTCCATAACATGGTTTGCGATTATGCGAATGCATTGTTCAGTAAGCTATCTACTCCATAGTGTATAATTGCATTCCATGAATTTTGTGTGAGATTTTTTTTAATGTTCTTAGGCTAGTTTGGATTAGCAGCCTTCATTGATGGGTGGTACTGTTTATTGTGACTTGATACTTAACTAATAGTTGTACATTCACAATCTGGAATGTTATAGAACCGTCATTTAGGATAGGTTACACCGGTTATTTACATGGAAGCTTGTCTTTTTGTTTTTGGGCATAGTGCACCTGTAAGATCATGTAATTAACTAGCTGTAAACATCTCCTTATTTTCCTAATATGTAAGGTCAAGAGCTGTTCTTTGAAAGTTTTAAATTCGATAATCACCAGTACGATTTAGGGGTTATCATGTTTCAAACCTCCAGGAAATAGTAACTGACTTTTATCTTTTATCTTGAACAGGACCAAGGCATTTCAGTTCTCACTGATGCAATTAAAGCTTGCACAGCTGAGATCGAGAAGCACAAGGGAAAGTTGATAGTTAAGGAAGCACCGAGAGCTGTAAGTTTTTTGAATTTTTGTTAATTCGTTTAGGCTTTTGTTATCTTGTGTTTGCACTTTTTTACAAAAAAAAAAAACCAGTTCCTATTTGTTATTATAATTTCTTCGGTTCATTAAGTTTTTTCTTTGCTAATTTTGCATTTTATAAACAGGTGAGTGAGAGAGAAGATAAACTGTTCAATGAGCACATAGAAACCCTTAACGAGCAAAATGCGGAGGTTGATGGTGATGCTGACAGTGAAGAGGAGGAAGATACAGGAATGGGTGACATCGACCTTACAAATTCCGGTGTCAACGCGGATTAAAGTTCCGCTATTTGATTTGGATGAGTTTTGTTGTATAGCACCAGCCAATCTTAAGTCGTCCTATTTGAAAAGAGTTCGTTAGGTTCTGGTGGCTGTGACCCCTTTGAATTCACTGATGCGCGTTGTCTGGGGTGTTTGCGTTTTGGGGTTGAGGTCGTGTTGGAGAATTGCTCGAGTAGCATCTAATTTTTTCTTGGGATCGAAACATAATTCTGTTGCTATACATCGTCTTTGATTGGCCACTTCTATTGCCCGTTGTTTTTCATTCAAAATATCATTACTGATGATTACTAATTCACTACAGGTTCGTATAATCGTATTCCTCTGTAGGGGCGTGCTGCCTGTTTGTGTGCGGTCTGTTATTTGTGCTGGTTTATGCCTAGGGGAGTAGGTTTATCGGCATGGAAACTCATTTATAGGCTAATTATTTCAAGTGAATGCATTTGAGAAAAACATGATTAAGATGTATATTTTATTTTATTTTTTATTAGCATGTTTTTCAAACGTGAAAAAGGTTAAATAGTGTGTTTTTTGAAAGAAAAAAAACTTTATAGTATATAAAAGATGCTTTAAAATATTATAAATAAATTTATTTTAAAATTTATAATAATTAAAATTCAGTTAATCACGTGCTAATAGATTTTATTTTATGCACGTTGATTTTATCTCCATCTCTCTCAAACATGACCGTTGAGCAATTTAGGCGACACTAATTTTTACATTCAAACATTTTAAGGCACATATTTGTGGTATTCCAGTTTTTCAGACGTGAGCCAAAGCTGCACTTAGCACGAATGCAATATGGTTTTGGATAAAATTTGACCATATACCTTCCATCTATTTTGAAATTGAAGATTTTACCCTCCGGACGGACTTTTTGGTTTGACAAGGATACACCACAGGCATACAGCAGGGGCAAATGTACGCAATCACGTGACAAAGCCCTGCAGCGTACACGAAACACGAGGCAATGCGGCCCAGCCGCCGCCGCCACCCGCTGCCGCCGCTGGCACCTGGCCTTCTACTGATCCTCCTCCTCCACGCCTTGGCGCCGCCGCCGGCTGCCGCGGCGGTGGGCGTGAACTGGGGCTTCTCCTCCTCCCACCCTCTCCCGGCGGCGCAGGTGGTGCGCGGCCTCCTCCTCCCCAACTCCGTCCCCCGCGTCCGCCTCGCCGCCGCCTCCCCCGACGCGCTCGCGGCGCTCTCGGGCACCGGGGTCGCGGTCACCGTCGGGGTCCCCAACGAGCTCCTCCGCCCCCTCGCCACCTCCAGGAAGGCCGCCGCCGCCTGGGTCCATGACAACGTCACCCGCTACGCCTCCGGCGTACGGTTCGAGTAAGAACCACCATCCTTTTCCTTCCCTTCAGTATGCATTTTTTTTTCTTCATTCGACAGCAACAACGTCACGCATCTGGATTCTGGCACGCCTGATCTTGTGCTCGTGGTATAGATGCAGTTTTCTTTGGACTGGAAGAGGCCGAAATAGTTTTTAGCTACTCAATGTAGGAGTATCTAAGACTATAAGGACCAACGGAATACTCCGATAGTGCAAATTGTGCTTTTGCTTGACCCAGATTCCTTGTGCTGTTATATACTTATATTTAGACACAGTATGCGCAGTATTGACATCCGTTGACTCGATTTATTAAATAACAATCACCGGATTTGACAATCATGCTCGAGTCATAGCAAGACGCTCAGGAAGTTTTTAGTAGGACTGGGATCCCACTTGTTTATAGAGGATTGGCCACTTGAATATCATTGACTCCTTGTCCAAAAATCTGTTGCGCTCTTGAGTTCTTCAAATTAAATCAATGACAACCCTGAGAATAAATCAATCTGAAATGAAGGTGGAAAGACATTGCTTTAATGACGCATTTGGTTAATGTTCCGTTAGAACATTGGATTACCAGGTACCTCAAGTTATTTTCTTTACATAAAAATGAAACTAGGATTTATGATGCAATCCAAAAAAATCAGTACCAGGCTACCAGCTGTTGTCCCTGTTCTCGACTTCTATATCCTATTGACTTACTTTGGTAAAATATATCACTAAATAAAGTCACTAGACCAAGTTAATGATTGGTAAATTTGGACAACAGCTAGTTCCAATCACTTTATTTATATAAAAGTATAAAACAGGATACAGTTTTCAACTGTATGCTGTGTATAGATAAATACTCATCAGTCATAACTTAAGAGCATGGAAGAATATTTCTGCTCTATCTGAGGAGTACGTGTTATTCTTTTGGCATTCCCATGTTTATAAATAGCAGAGAAGCACAATACAGATTCTGCGACTGCTATTTCAAAATGTTGTTCCTGAATACCTAAAAACAATGTATACATGGGAGTCTAGTGCAATATTACTCATGTTTTGCAAAAGATTGTGTCATTTGGGTCTTGATGAGCTGAACCATGGATTCTAGGCACATTTCAGTATGTTTCATAATGATGCTTAATATGTTGTGTTCCACTTGTACAATTATTTTACAATACATACTTTTGTGGTTATAACTTCTATATTATCTTTAATGTTGACAAGAAAAAGGAATATACAGGTATGTTGCTGTTGGAGACGAATCATTTCTTCTCAACCATGGGCAACAGAATCAATCTTTTCTTGTCAGTGCAGCAGCAAATATTCAACGAGCATTGGTTGATGCAAAGTTATCCAATAAAATGAAAGTAGTTGTACCTTGTAGCTCAGATGTATATCTGAACACATCGGCTTTGCCTTCTAAAGCTTATTTCAGGCCAGAAGTTAACGAGACCATAGCTGAGCTTCTCTCTTTCCTTGCCAATCATAGCTCACCGTTTATGGTTGAGTTGAATCCCTTTTCGAGCTTTCAACATAAGAAGAACCTGTCATTGGATTACTATCTTTTCCAACTAATGTCACATCCAGTAAGTGATGGCCATATCAAGTATGACAATTACTTTGATGCAAGCATAGATGCTCTGGTTACTTCTCTAACTAAAGCCGGATTCAGTAACATGGACATCATTGTTGGGAGAGTAGGATGGCCATCAGATGGAGCTGTTAATGCTACACCTGCTATTGCCCAATCCTTCATGACTGGCCTGGTCAACCATCTGGCAAGAAAATCTGGGACTCCACTACGTCCGAAAGTGCCTCCAATTGAGACATATCTCTTCAGCCTTTTAGATGAAGATCAACGAAGTATAGCGAGTGGAAGTTATGAAAGACACCACGGCATTTTTACCTTTGATGGCCAAGCAAAGTATTATGTCAACTTGGGACAAGGTTCTAAAGCTCTGGAGAATGCTCCTGATGTGCAGTACCTTCCGTCAAAATGGTGTGTGTTGGATAACAACAAGGACATATCTAATGTTTCTTCCAGTTTCTCTGCAGCTTGCTCCAATGCCGACTGCACTGCTCTGTCGCCTGGTGGCTCCTGCTCAGGTATTGGCTGGCCTGGTAATGTGTCATATGCGTTCAACAACTTCTATCAGCAGCATGATCAGAGTGAGGAAGGCTGCAGCTTCAATGGCCTAGGTCTGATAACCACTGTTGATCCATCTGTTGATAATTGCATGTTTAATCTTGCAATTGACACATCTACCGCTGCTTCCTTCCATCCAATATTGGCCATGTTGCAGATATTAGTTTTGTTTTTCTGTACTTACAATTTATTGTGATGTGGCTATCTATGAATGTATCACTTCTGATGTCTTTGGTCCAAATTGTGATGGCTCTATATGCTCTGTTCCTTTTCAAGGAATGGAATGATGGATGAATGTTCACGTTCTTGAGTTCCTAAATGGTACTAATTTTGCAAAAACTTTCTATATGTGTTTTTTGTTAAGAATGTTGTTTTAAACCCATCTTTTCACTTTATAATATTTAATTAAATCGTTCGTACCCTCGAATAGTTATTGCAAATTATACTTAACTATTCAGTCATTCAGCACAAAAGAACAGGGCCATGAAATTGTAATACTAGTACATTTCTGTTCTTTTCTTTTCTTTTTGAGGTTGTCTGAAACACCTGTATCTTAAACTATCGCAGACTAGCCAATGAGTCGTACTCACCTGAAACTGAAACCAAGTGATTAACCAAGCTGGTTCGACAGTAATTCCATCCATAATGCAGCTCCGGAGCCCTTCATATCCTGCATGTTACTCAAACAACATCCCCACCTCCTCATTTCCTCTCCCCTATTGCATTGCATAATTGCAGAAGATTAAGCCGCTAATGCATAATTACACATTATTTGTGTCCACTAATTTTCCCTTTCCCACACGCTACGAAACTCAAAAGCCGGCCTCCTCGCCTCCTTCCCTGAACGTTACTAATCGCGTCATGTATAAATACAGAGCTTGCCCACGCACCGGCACATTGCATCGCACTACGCACATCTACACGATACCCAAGCAGCAAAGCTAGAAAGAAAAACCATGGCGTGCTCGGGCAGTTTCCTACCGATAATGCTCCTGCCGCTGCTCCTCGCCGGCGCCGCGGTGGCGGGCGGCGCCCCGCCGGGGCTTGGGCTGGCGCAGCGGCTGGCCGACGGCGTGGGGCAGCAGCAGCAGCAGTGCTGGGAGGTTCTGATGGAGATCAAGTCGTGCACGGGGGAGATCCTCCTCTTCTTCATCAACGGCGAGGCGTACCTGGGGCCCGGCTGCTGCCGCGCCATCCGCGTCATCGAGCAGAGCTGCTGGGCCACCGACGCCATGCTGTCCGTCATCGGGTTCACCCCGGAGGAGGGGGACATGCTCAAGGGCTACTGCGACGCCGGCGACGAGCACAAGCCGTCGCCGCCCCCCGCCTCGCCGGCCGTCGGCTACGTCGCCGTCGGAGAGAACGCCGCCGTACCGGCCGGACGGAAGAGCCTGGCGCTGCAGCACCGTTAGTTACACACCGCACTCACACTGCCACGTGTGATCACGTCCAGGTTTAAGCTCGGGAATTGACTGGGTTGACGTTGTAGCCCGAGTTGCGAAATTCCTCGTGCTTTTGACGAGATCATTATATATAAATAAAAAGAATGTTTTCCGTGTGTTTTAGCTCAGTTATGTTCTGTTCAAAAATCGATCAACGGTGATGATCCAATTAATGGCCGAACAAGGGAGGCTTCTTTGGAAAGTAGGAATTTGAATATTTACAGGAATCATTCTCTTCAAAACTCATAAAATTCCTCCAAATCAAATAGACCCTAAAAAAATAAAAATGGGTTAGTCAATTTGGCTCCATTACTATCCTCTCTTCTACCTATTACCATTAACTTCTACTACTAAATTAGTCTATTATTAAAAAATGCTACTCCCTCCGCCTTAAAATATAGCACCTAGATGGATGAAATACAAGTATTACGAATCTGAAATATAAGTATTAATGGATGAAATACAAGTATTACGAATCTGAAATATAAGTATTACGAATCTGGACAGACCATCCACCAAAAGTTGCTATATTTATAAGGAATGGGGTAGTCCATTCCACCACGGTCAGCGACACTGCGAGATCGGCCAGCACGGGTCGGACTCGGACCAGACCACGGGCGCGGCATAGTGGGCCCGCGCTGTCACGGGCACGTGGGCGGTGCACCACCCACTGGAGGAGGTCGCGTAGGAGAGGACACGTGAACTCGTCCCGCGTGGTCGTGTACCGCAAAACGTCCGAACACACACTAGACCTCCACAGCTCGAGCGAGCCCGACGCGGCGCGGCGCGGCGCGCGTGGGGGCGGAGGAACCGGGAGCTCGGGCCCCGCGCCGCCCTCGGCCTCGCCGCCGCCGCTTCGATTGCTCACTCGCGCCCCTCGCCGCCACCGCCACCACCGGGAATGCCGTCGTCGCGCGGGCAACGGCCGCCGCCGCTGCAGCTCGCGGTCGCGTGCGGGTTTGTCCACCTCATCTGCCTCGCCGCGGTCGCGGGGGGAGGCGGACCCTGCGAGTTCTCCGTCGCTCGCGGAGGCAAGCTCTACAGCTTCAGCCTCGCGTCGCCGACGACGGCGCACCGCCACGGCGTCCTCAGCGAGGACGGGTACGTAGCTTAGCCGCCGCCCCCGCCACCCGCGGGTTTATCACCTTCTAAACTGTTCTCTCCTTTTTTGCTTCCATCGAGATGGGAATATGGGTGGCTCGGGGGGGTCCTCGTGCTTCTCACAATCTGGGGACGCGTGCGGCGTGCCCACCGCGCTTGGCGAAATGCTCGCGTCGTGTTTGGCCATCACTTGGCTTTGTTTCAGTTCGTTGCTTGTAGAGTTGTAGTATCAGTGATGGTTATAGTAGTACTTGCCGATTCGTATACGATAAAAGCTGACCTTGGTGGGAGAGCAAGATGTCTAAATAACAAATCTATCTGCATTTGAGTGTGTGCATTGTGTTTGTGTGTGTGTGTGTGTGTGTGTAGCAATCAACTAACTACCATTTTGTGTTTCAGGTTTTACAAGGTGGCTGTGAATAATTCAGTGCTCTGGTTCCAGGTTGGTTATACCAGCTTGCTCTTTCTGTGTGACCATCTTTTTCATCTGTAGCTATTACAATGCATGTTTCACTTGATTAGTAAATACAACTTTTACAAGTAAATAACACTCTCAGATGAATGGACCGTTTGGGTTTCCCCTGCAAGGGGGGAAAAGACTTTGTGGTATAATGTTCTGCATCAGATTGTTTTATTTCTTCTGTGTGTGCAGCTGTGCGATCAGATGATATTCAACTTTGACCCGCCAGTTTGTCTTAACTGTGAGGTACTCCCTTTTATCTTACCATCATATAACCTAACTGCACACCTTTCGGAAATGATATGCAGATTATTTGCTGGATTAGCACGTATTATTAAACACATAATTCTGCATGTCTTTTCGTGCTATTTTCTATGTTGCATGTTGAATTATATTGGGTGTAGGTTTCCCTTCCATGGCAAGCCATGCCTGTTAATGCATAAAATAATCCGATTGTTGTAATTGCATCAATGTCATTGCTTCCATCATACATATACATTAATTTGCGTTTTCATCTATCGTCCACAAACACCTGCTGTTGACTTTGCAGCAAGAACTCCATTTACTGTATTGCCATGACTCAATCGATAATTACCTCACTAGAAAGCGCTGCCCCTTGGATGTCAGAGGTGCATATTTTGCTTCTTATTTAAATCAGTCCAGTTAATATCAAGCACCTACAAGACTGCAGCATTAATAGTGTTAACATATGTTACTGCACCAAACAGAATTAGTTTACCTATGTGAGGTTCATTTACCTTCATTTCAGTTTTATCTCCAGATATACATCAATTGTTTTAATATATTATGGTTTAACCATTTCTTTTACTGAACTAGGACTGTGGTGGTCCACAAAGGTGTGGTACTCAATGCAGTGCCCTTGTGTCAAATAACCGTGGAGGTAGCTTTTTTTCTCCTCATTGGATATAATCATCAATTATTCCCTATTATCCCTTTTGTCCTGTATCAGGAATAAAAAAACACTGCCGAAAGAAATGTAGTAGTGTTCACAATCAATTCTCTGGTTTCAAACTTAAGTTGCAATTGTTGTATTTTTTTGGTGGCAAATATTGGTGTTCAGCATTTTTTTGTTTCTGCAGGATATGATGTTTGCACAACTATCGGAAGAGCATCTAAATCTCATATATCTCTAATTGGTAAGGACAATTATTTATAAATCTTTCACAAATATCCATTTTGGACAAAACTTACATGTTTCTTGGAAAATCAGATGATATTAATCCTCAGAAGGGTGTTGTTGTCAAGATGTTCTCATCAAAGTGCTCTATCTCTGTTTACATCTATTGTGATTCAACTGTAGCCCATGTAAGTTGATTGTTCTTTCATATACTAGTTTCTTCAGGTTCATATTTCCTATTTCCGGACACTATTGCATTCTTATTTTACTGTGCTGCCTTTAATTTTTCTTTCTTTTATAGGTATCGGATCAATTTGTACTATCAGGAAGTTGTGACTATGTAGGTCCACTAAATTTATGGTGCTGTATTTAACAGATTTTATCCTAAATGTTAACATTGTTGTTTCTCATAGGCTACAACACTTAGACATCCTTCTGGTTGTGCACAATCCATGTCTGCTTCTGGAAATGGATGGGGCTGGTTAGCCACTTCATTTGTAACGTATGTCTTTTTAGTTGTATTTAAAGTTACTTGACAATACACCATTGATGAATCTGGTTTTGAGTTCTGACTTGACTGATGTTTTACCTTTTTGCAGAATTCTGTGCCTTCTCGGAGGGTACATTTTGATTGGTTCAATCTATAGATATTATTTCCTTGGCATTCATTCTGTAGAGGTAAAGCAGTCTTTCCTGAACTTAGTATTCTTACAATAAATGATATATCTTTGTGACATTGTCCTGAACTTAGTATTCTTAGAACAAATGACACATCTTTGTGACATTGTTTTTAGAAGAACCATCATGCTAATTCTCTGTTGTTTTTCTTGGAGAGACTATTTGGACTCCCAAAATGTTTTCCTGCTTGTATGCTTTGATCTGTTGCTTGTAGTTTTTTTTTTTACTGTCCACCTTCAATGAATAAATTACTTTTGACAATCCCAATCACTCAGGTTATTTCATTCGATAGATGTCTTCAAGTACCTGTTCTGCAATTTATAGGAAAAAATATTCCATCAAATTTGGTTCTGATATTGTTTAAACCCCGAACAGTTTATTATTTGATCTTGTTGCTTTTCAGCGACACATCTATTAAATCTTCTGCTTAAATCTGTTGGCTATATTTGTATTTGACCAAAATAATACAACAGTGGCTGAGGTAGATCGACATGGTTCACTAAATCTGTTGGCTGAGGTAGATCAACAGCCAAAGTTAAAAGACCAAAATAGTTCACTAAAACATGATAAAGGTTTAAATTGTCACCAACAATTAAGTTAGGGGGCAAAATTTTCCGGCTTTCTACTTGTTTTTGAGGACGTAACTTTGTACAGCATAGTTCTAAAGATAAATGAGGAGCAGTGAAAACATTCAGTCTCATGAAAAACTCAGTTTAGTTCAGTTATCTCCTTAAGGTCTAGTGCATTTTATTGTAGAAATTGCTAATATTTCGATTGAATTACCCACCCTCCTTTCCTTTCCTTTCTAAATAGAATAATAGAAGATGACAGCCACATCGAATAAACTAAAATCTAAAAGTGCAAAATGAATATATAAAGAGATTAGTAGCTCACAGTTTGCCCTTTAAAAATGTGAAAGATACGTTCTACTCAAACATAAATTGTGTGTAGAGTGGTATTTTGGTGGTCAGTTAATTCATAAACCTATTTCGTGCACTATGAATTCATGGTACCATGTTGGGTATTCATTTATCATCATTTTGATGCCTCCAAATCCAAATCACATTATTTATCTCTCTTGTGTTGTTCCAGGCCATACCAAACCTGGAATTTTGGATCAGCTTGCCACAAACTATAAAGGTAAGTTCGCTATGTTTCTGTTTTTGAATTGTTTTTGGTGTTTAAAATTGTCCCTGTTGAGACAACTACAATCGTGCTTTTATAAGATGTTCTTATCCTTATCAAATGTATCGTTATGCCTTGTTCATCCATCTGTCCAGAGCATGTTATTACCTGCAGCACGAGGTCGTAACAGACAGAGTAGAGATACATATGCTCCTGTAGACCATTGAGAAATAGGCATCCAATGGAACTGTACTGCTCACCGTACAGTTGACAAACATATATGGACTGGGAAGGAGAAATTTTTATATGCCATTATGTCAGGTACTACCAATGAAATGAATGTATTATCTTTGTGCAATATTTTAGCCAATGATGAGCAAAGTTAGTAGGTCCACATACTACATTGTGTCCTGTTCTTTTCGTGTTTTGAGATGATAAGAAGATTCTATAAGTTCAGCAGTTGACGTTTTTCTATTTATTTTTATGTGATTATTCATATTGGGTGGAATAAGAAGTGTTAAGATCGTAAGGTAACCACATTAATTTTTTAGAAACTGTTATGCATGTGTGATAAAGATGAGAGTATTGAGCCTGCATGAAAACTGACGATCACTTTCCTCTGTTTGATAAATGATAATCACTGGACAATTGCCCAATTTGCCTATGTCCAGTGAGGAGTGCAATTTCCAGTACCAAGTTTCATTCACTGCCTACCAAATACTTGTGCATATGATCTAGTGGATTTAGAAATATGAAAATATAGTTTAACATGTCTTGACGTGATTTTCTCTCTCAGCTTACTTCTTGAAAACTAATATCCAGGAAGATGACATTGCAATCTTCATCAACAATCATTTTGTTCAGAGGAATTTATACAGATATGTAGCAGTACGTTTTTTACAGTTGTGGGCAACTGCTTGTGCTGTACGCGTGGGCAAGAGAAAAGATAAGATTGGGACCTCCAATGGCTTGTTATAAATTTGTTCTATTATAACGTGTGGAAGCCACACACTTTTGCCTTGGCCACAACTTTTTGGCAGATAAATTGTGAAGTCTAGAAATCAGTGCATAGAGGACGGATGAATCACTCTTGTGAGGACATAGTGAAGTAGCATGATGTGACTGTATTCTCAGTAGTGGACCAGATTATCAGAGAAGGATGGTAATTTTCTTCCTTCCTTGTCATTCCTTTAGCTTGGAAAGTGATGCAATTATTTTTCATGAACTAGCACAATAAGGAATCTTTTTTAAGTTTTTTTATCCTTGTTTTATTGTCTATCTTTCAAGCTTGGAGCTTGCCTTTTCGTTTAGATAAAGATGCTTGCTTCTACTATTGTGATATTTGTGCATTGGTTGTTTTCAGAATATATGAACACTCACAAGATCACTTCACTACTCTGAATTGCTGTTGCGTGATTGCGTGATGCACTGCTTTGGATGCTGGTGCAGATGCACCGTTCTGATGTGATGGGGTGGTCGAAAATGAGATTTTATTGCTTTCAGTCTAGTAGATACCCTTATTATGGTTCCATGAAATTTTAGTAGTCACTCATTCTTGAGTTTGTACTTTGTACTGTTCTGTTTTGTCCTAGGCAGGGCTTGAACCTTTTTGTTCTGAGTTATATTGAGGGTTTCATATAGAAAGAACCTATCTAGTATGGTCTTTGAATTTGTTGATCTACAGTAACAATTACACACTAATGTGTTGCTGCATAAACTAACCGAAAAAGGCTCATTTCTATGTTGATACCTCAGAACCTTGAGATTTCTTGTAGCTTGCAACAGTTGTGTTGCCGAATATTCTGCTAGGCAGATATCAGAATGGCTGGAGATTTACTGGCGTCCACGAGCTGACAATATCTGCAGCTGACCTAGTAAATTTTACTCTTGTTTGCATACAATTGCTATGAGCTTCTCTCCGCTATTTTTCCATGGATAGCACTGTACTAGTTTGTAGAGGTTTTTCTTTTTTTCTTTTCTTTCTTTCTCTTTTGGGTGTGTGTGTTGGGGAATAACTATTGTGTGCGCTACCAACCAAGGCCCAACTTGGTCACTAGATCTGGGTTGTGTATTGCTGCATATGCTAGCAGTATAGTATTACTCCTCCGTTGTTTTTGGAGGAACATCCGGTAAGCCTCACCTCCCAATGCATTAGCAAGTTGCTACCTGCCAGCAGTATCACTCTGATTAGCCTTCTTTTCTAAAGATCATGTGATTTCAAAGCAACAACTTTTCGGTGTATATAGTAACTAATCGCTGCAAATTTTTATATTGTTGACCTGCAGATCCTTATGTTGGACTTGCCTTTCTTCCGTCCACTTGCACAAGGCAGATGGAGGTTGTACAGCTATTATTATTTCAAGAGAAGTTAGCGTCGTGGTGACAACTGGGCAATTAATTTTTCGTTAGAAATCAACGGATAGCCAGGTCCAAACACCATAATAAAATCAGCATATACAAATCAGAATTATATCTCTTTGCGTATCTGATCAAAAGTAGATCAGAACTTGATCTCTACCACTGGGAAACAGGACTCTGTTTTCTCTTGCTCTTGTACCAAATACTAAAAATTAACAAATCAAAGAACACAGATTTTGACATAACCTGACCTAGTGACCTGTACAAAGCAACAACAAATATCAACCAATTTAAACCTTATTACAAAAAGGACTGCAGATGCTCTTTTTAATTAAAAGAAACATATAAACATAAATACTACTCCAATAAGAATAAGAAACACAAACGAAAAAAGAAAACGGGTGCCCGTTCGGAAACGGAAAAGCTGAGGAGGAGAGGAGAAAAAATTGGGGAAGAAACCGGAGCAGAGCAAGGGCAAGGATGCATCGAGATCGATTTGACCACCACCTCTTCTTCCCCTTCTCCTCCTCCTAAATGGCGACATCTTCTCCAAATCCCTCACCTTTATTTCCTCCTCGTCTCCTCCTCCTCCGCTCTCTCCTCCCGCGTCTAAACCCTAACCCTACCGCAGCCGCCCTCCATGGCCGCCGACTACCGCACACCCGACCGCCTCCTCTCCGCCGCCGCCCCCGGCGAGGAGCAGGCGCAGGATCCGCCCAAGCCGGTGCTCGCCGTCGCCGCGACCCATGACGGCCTCCGGTTCTGGCAGTACATGCTCGCCGGCTCCGTCGCCGGCGTCGTCGAGCACACCGCGATGTTCCCCGTCGACACGCTCAAGACGCACATGCAGGCCGGGGCGCCGCCCTGCCGCCCGGTCCTGTCGCTGGGGGCGGTGCTGCGCGCCGCCGTGTCCGGCGAGGGCGGCGTCAGGGCGCTGTACCGCGGCCTCCCCGCGATGGCGCTCGGCGCCGGCCCCGCCCACGCCGTCTACTTCTCCGTCTACGAGTTCGCCAAGTCGCGGCTCTCCGAACGCCTGGGCCCCAACAACCCCGCCGCGCACGCCGCATCGGGGGTGCTCGCCACCATCGCCAGCGACGCCGTGTTCACCCCGATGGACACCGTCAAGCAGCGGCTGCAGCTCACGAGCAGCCCGTACACGGGCGTCTCGCACTGCGTCCGGACCGTGCTCCGTGACGAGGGCCTCGGCGCGTTCTTCGCGTCCTACCGGACCACGGTGGTGATGAACGCGCCGTACACGGCGGTACACTTCGCTACCTATGAGGCGGCGAAGCGGATGCTCGGGGACATGGCCACCAACGAGGATTCGCTCGCCGTGCACGCCACCGCCGGAGCCGCAGCCGGCGCGCTCGCGGCTGCAGTCACAACGCCGCTCGACGTTGTCAAGACTCAGCTGCAGTGTCAGGTGAGGATCTCTTATGAATTTTATTTGTGCTTTGCTGAAAGTGTGTATTTTAACTCCATATAATAATTTTGAGGCTGATCTGAGTGTGCTGTGGTGATTTGCTCAGCAAACGGATGAATTTTTATGTCTGTCAATCGTTTTTATAAATCTCCAAGATTGTTGGAGTCAATCCGTACAATGAAGGAAGTGGCGACTTACTATGCTTAGGGTGCTCTGTAGCATATATTTATAGAGTGAACCGATTTAGCTATGAGGCACCAAATGAGGTCAGTTATATCTTAGGGAACTCTGGCTCATTCAAAACTCCAGTATTCTGACATAGCATATATCCTAAGTTGGCCTCTTCTAAAACATAGCCTTTCACCAAACTGCTGTTGTCACTTTATTTCCTTATAGGAAAAATGAAAATTAGCTAACTTAAACTCGGGTGTTAAAGCTGTTTACCATTGTATCCTAGTGGAAACAATATGGCAATAGTTTTTAGCTGATCTACAGTGTTTACTGAAATTATAAATGTAAGTTTACTTGTCATCTGTTGCAACTGTTGATTTTTTTTCATCACAATTTATTTTGGTCATCGCAATTTGCAACTGTTCTTGTTAACATAAGTAGTGTCTTTTTACTTCGATTAACCAACTGGCTCAGGTATGCCATGCATAGTTAAACACTATGTCATCAGTAGTTCTATCTCTCTTTCCCATTTTAAGGTGTTTGGGTTTTGAATAGATTCATACATGTATGCATGTATGTGATTCATATATGTGTCAAAAATCTATTTCGATGTTTGTGAATCTAGACGAGGAATGGAGAGGCCAAAACGTCTTATAATGTGGAATGGAGGGAGTATATGTTGGTCGTGTTTCACTGTTGGTCTTTAGGAGGACAAGCCAAAAAGGCTGTATGCTCCCCCATCTGTCTTCCCTTCTGCATCAAATGTGAATCCCAATGTCTACACTGATTCCTCTATAACCTATGACCATAGAGGAAGAAACACAAATGATTGCACAAAAAAGTCACATCGACCTTGAAACTTCTCAGGTGCTAGTAGAGTAATTGGGCCTCTCTATATGCTGTCATTGAGTTGTGCACTGCATCTTGTTATTCTTCACTTCCACTATAGGTTAGATTCTGCAGTAGCCACATGGCTTGCGGCTCACATATGCTTCCATCTACCTATTTGACTTGATATTTTCTGTACCTAATTTGCCCACCTATCGTCCTATCATAGTTATGGTTTGTCCACACATCCACACTTGCCTGTAGTCATAGTTTTATTATATGAATACATCTGTAAGATATGCCTGCTCTTGCTTTTATATTTTTCTAACACTTATCAATTTAACCGTGGGGTAGTTTCTTCAGTTTTTGTTTTTCCTGTTTTACTGCGATCACCTGTTTCCATTTTCAAGATAGTAATAATACCCATTTTGATCCTCAGGGTGTGTGCGGCTGTGAGCGCTTCTCAAGTAGCTCAATAGGTGATGTATTCAGAACAATCATAAAGCGTGATGGATATGCTGGGCTTATGAGAGGATGGAAGCCAAGAATGCTGTTCCACGCACCTGCAGCTGCTATCTGCTGGTCGACGTACGAGGCCTCAAAGTCGTTCTTCGAAAGATTCAACGAGAAAAGAAGGAAATAATCTGAACATTCAAGGCTCAAAGCCCATGTATTTTCTTGAAGTCAATGTACTTCTATACTGCACCATACATCCTCAGCTGACAGAACGAAGCAGCCCCCAAGATGCTGTTGTGGTGATGCAGGCCTGCTAGTGATCCATGTGGAATGATGTACTGTGCATCAAAACATGTCCAAAGATAGATCTCTGTACCTTGTATTTCATTTCAGCCAAGTTAATGTATTATTTTGCCTGCTGGGTCCAGATAATAATTACAAGGATAATTTTTGCCCAAATTTGATCAGAATCACTCAGTGTACTGTATCCTTTTGTGGCCGTCCTTGTGCCAGATTATTGATAAAAATGAGATTTTTGTTTTGCTATGACGTGCTGCGCCCCTTGCAAATTTTAATCCTCTTTTTAGGCCATGTTTGTTTCAGCTCAAGATTATTGTAGTCTAGATTATTAAATCAGATTACTTTAAGCTGGATTATAATAAGCTGATATAAAATAAGCTACAAGTTGTTTGTTTTTCTAAATTATTAAAGGCATCTAAGGGTAGTGGGTTTTTAGCCACTCAATAATCTGGAAAAAGCTCATCTAGAGAAGATTATTGGATTATAGTAATCTGGCTTATAGATTATAATAATCTAGTATAATAATCTACTTGTTTGTTTCAGCTTACTTCTAATAATTCAGATTATAATAATCCTAAGCTGAATTAAATAGGGCCTTAGTCATATGAGTTGGATTTGTGTAGAGCTAAAATTAGTTTACTCGTATAATCAAGAACAAAAGCACCAGTGGTCTAGTGGTAGAATAGTACCCTGCCACGGTACAGACCCGGGTTCGATTCCCGGCTGGTGCATATTAATTTTTGGCTCTTCCATTTTAGATAAAGACAATTGGCAACTTGATGCATTATGAACAAATCTGCGCAATAGTCCATTGCTCAACGACTTGCCGTGCGTTTCTGCGAAAAAAGGCAATTGGCATATTTATTTTTTTTATTTGATGAAGGGAAATGGCCTGGCATCTTGATGTATGAACGATCCATTGCTCAATGACTGGCCGTGAGAAGTAAACTATCCATTGCTCAAATGCAAGTTCAAGTAAGATTTTTTTTTTTTTTTGGTTCCTCGTATGCGTAGCCTTCTTATAACTCCGTAACTGAAATCGAACACCATAAAGAAAACTGGCTGCAGTAGTAGACCAGTAGTTCTTCACAGCATCTCAAGTATCTACCCTTTATCATGGACATCCAGCTTTTATAATTACTAATAATCAGTTATAATCACAAAGGTCATTCGCGGTAAATTACCCATCCCGAACACTAATCGTACAAGCACGTATTATTATTTCCTCTGATCGATCGTGGCTGGCGGCGCACGCGCGATGCTAGAACTCCTCGACGATGATGCCGCCCCTGACGACCTCGTAGGCGTCACGGCTGCGCGACTTCCTGATGCCGGCGGTGAAGTGCACCTTGGCGGCGTCGGCCCTGACGGCGGTGACCCTGGCCCAGACGAGCACCTTGGTCTTGAGCCCCTCCACCTCCGCCAGCCTCCCCTTCTCCAGCGTCCCGCACACCGTGGCGTCGAACCGCAGCACGGAGCCGTCCCTGTAGCCGACCTCGCACGCCGCCGGGATGTGCACCGTCAGCCGCCGCGTCTCCGGCGAGAACTCGTAGTTGGTCGCCTCCCGCGGGAACAAGCCCTCCGGCAGGTCGTGCTCCCGGAGCAGCTCCTGCAGCGGCTTCTGCATCTTCCCCTTCAGCTTGTTCACCAGCCACTTTGCCCCCTCCCCGACGCTCGTCGACAGCGACTGCACCACCACCCGCCGCCGCCGCCGTCGCCGTCGCCGCCGGCGATCATCATCAGGACATCGGCACAAGAAAAGAATTCGATCGAAGGAAAGGAAAAAAAACCTTACCTCGATGTCGTCGCCGGCGGAGGAGATCTCCTTGTTGGCCTTCTGCCCGAGCCAGTAGCCCCCCAGCTTGTTCATGATATCGTCCATCTTTGATCTTTCTCCTCTCGCTGCGATCTGCTTCTCTGGTAGTATCTTCTTGCGACGATCGAAGAAGAGGAGAGGCTCTTCTGCTGGTTTTCGCCTCGCTTAGCTAGGTCGTTGGTCGAGACCGGATCAAAGCAGGAAGCGGAGGAGGAAGAAGGTGGCAATCCATTTTGCCGCCGGGAAAGCGACGGGTCTCTCTTTGCTCTGCAGTGCACCGTGTCGTTTGGTCGTCGGGGCGTGTTGAAAAACACGAAACCGGCTGCGGCTGGTGATATTCGTGGCTTCAGAGGTTGGGTCATCTCGCCCTTCCAGAAGGCTCCCCACGATGGCGCTAAGATTAAGGGTTTGTTTTGGTTCGTGGCCTAAACAGGTATTACCAAATTATATCAATGTCAAATTTTGGCAAGTTTTGATATGACTAATTTTGGTAAGACAAAATTGTGTTTGGATTGAAGCCAAAATAGTCTAAGTTCACTGTTGAAATGGCATATTTTCTTAGGCATGCCAAAATTTGGCTTCAAACCAAATAGACACTAAACACTATTGAAATTGACAAATATTCGTAAGCCTAATTTAGACCTCAAACCAAACCAGCCCTAAAGGACAAATATACAGGGAAAACTTTTATCGATAATGTTTCTCCTAATAATTTGTATGCATATAAATATCATATAATTAAATCATAACTTATCTATGTAACTTAATTTTTTTCAGTAACACGCAATTTATGTGTGAAGTTGACACCTCGGGATAAAATCCCCTCTCTCATATGCCTGTTGTGATTTTTTCTTATCTACTTATACAAATCATAAAATAAATTTAATGGTTTAAAATTATGTGAGTGTTACATACAAGGTTTATTATATTTAAACTATAATTATAATCATTATATTTCTTTTTAACGAATTTATAGGAGAAAGTTTATCGACAAATATATAACAAAATCGTTTCCGGAGAAGACCACTAGGCAGGTCGCGGCCCAAAGAAGGTCGAAGGCCCATTTACTGAAAATGCGGGGAAGAGATTAGCCCACACCATGCTGGCCCAACGATGCGACGCCTAGGGTTTATAAGAACACTCCATGCCCACCCCCTCCGCCGCCTCCGAACCCTAGCGCCGGCGCCGCCACTTCCCTCTCGCATCTTCTCGCGCTCAGGTATCTCCATCTCTCTCTCTCTCTCTCCATCCATGCCTCCAATCCGCACGACGCTATAATTCGTCTTCTTCTCCGGGTTTGCTTGGTTGCTGATCTGACCTTGTGCGTGTACGCGTCTCTCTCTCTCTGGGGATCGAATCTCGCGGCAGGGGCCAGGTAAGCGAAGATGTACACCGCGAGGAAGAAGATCCAGAAGGAGAAGGGCCTCGAGCCCTCCGAGTTCGAGGACTCCGTCGCGCAGGTGAGACCCGCTGCTCTTTGCTTTTGAGATGGGTCGAGGAGTGGTTTGCTTATGGCGGCTGTTGTCTTGTGTAGGCTTTCTTTGACCTCGAGAATGGCAACCAGGAGCTCAAGAGCGAGCTCAAGGACCTGTACATCAACAATGCAGTGTAAGTGTGCCCGTTCTCTCCATGCAAGCCTCACTCCCGGTCCCGGCCGATTGCTCGTGAGCAGTATATTCGTTTTGATGGTTAGTGCAACGTGTGATGTGGTTGCGGATTTGTGTGGATGTGCAGCCAGATGGATATTGCCGGGAACAGGAAGGCTGTGGTGATCCACGTGCCGTACCGTCTGCGCAAGGCATTCAAGAAAATCCATGTCAGGCTTGTCAGGGAGCTCGAGAAGAAGTTCAGCGGCAAGGTCAATTACGTCTTTCCCATTTGTCTACTGTGTTGCATAGGTCGCATGCTAGGAGTTCAATTTACTAACTCATAATACATTGTTGTTAGTTCTTAATGTTGCGTGTCGGGGCGCAAAACCTGTAGCTTATGTTGTTCATGCTTAACATGCAACGTAGATACTGTTAGTTTGGTTGAAGATAAAATGTTACCCTTTTAGCGCTGAATTTGTAATATCATACTGTTGATATAACTGCTAACATCTTGGAGAACATACACGGTATTGCAAGCACCGTTTGTAAGGCTGCGACCTGAGCATTTTCCATTCATCTACTAGCATAGTACTGGCTTTCTATATCGACACTGAAGTGTCTGATGTACACATGTAGTGGTTAACTGGCCTGGGGGTATCATCTTAAGTTACTCTGAGGATACCATCGAAGGGTAAACATCAATTTGTGTTGCTTACGAAATCCTGGCATTTTTGTTTTTTAACCTTGTTTCATGCACGACAGACTTCTTAATTTGTGTTATATTTGTATGACCTTGGTGTCAGTTTGTTGTTACCATTCTCTGAACAAGTTACTATTACTTGACTATTTGTGTTGATATTGTATGTTAAACTACAAACAGGATGTGGTAATTGTTGCAACAAGGAGGATTGTGAGGCCTCCCAAGAAGGGCTCGGCTGTTCAGCGCCCTCGCACAAGAACTCTTACTGCTGTTCATGATGGTATCTTGGAGGATGTAGTCTACCCAGCTGAGATTGTTGGCAAGCGCATCAGATACCGTCTGGATGGTGCCAAGGTCATCAAGGTAGATGCTACAAACTTGTGTCCCTTCTAAATTGTCATTTTAATATTTTATATTGTGCTCATCTGTCACTGCATGTACTCTCTACCAGCTACATCAGCTTCTCCACTATAATTTGCAAAAACTGAAATCATTGATGTTTTTTTTTCCTCATGTACAATGGGCTTGTTGTAAGCCTGTAACTAATCCTGCAGCATGACACTTCTGTTTGCTAGGTTAGTATTGACCCATGTGTTTTGATGTGTTTTCAGATTTTCTTGGACCCAAAGGAGCGCAACAATACCGAATACAAGCTCGAGACCTTCTCCGCGGTCTACCGCAGGCTTTGTGGGAAAGATGTTGCCTTTGAGTACCCTATGACTGAAACTGCTTGAAGATGCATTCCTTGGATTGTTCCCAATGTATTCCAGAAATCATAGTTTTGATGCCAAAGTTGGTACTTGGGTATTTGTTACTTTGAGACGACAAATCGACTTGAACAATGTTAAAGTTTTGGGCATTTAAATTATAGACCTTTGCTTTGGCACGGTTAGCTTGTTTCAATCCATTGTTTGTTGTGGAATTAGTTTTCACTTATGTGGTAGGGGAAGAATCTCATTATGACCGCCTATTTCATTTTTTTTGCTCCAGCTACTCGTTATCTGTTACCTTAGTCATTTAATCGTTGTTTTGTTGGGCCTCCTGCTTGCATCCGTTTTGTCGTTTGATCTCTTGAGAGCGGCCAGGCTTATGAAAAAACACCCTCGTATTAAAGAGGAACGTCACGCCGTTATCGTTTTTTTGGATTGAGAAATGGAAAAATAGTAAATCTGCATATTGTAAAAATAAGGGCTATTTGATTCGTAGGGTACAATCAAACGGCTGTATTTAGAATTGTGTTTTTCTTATTGATTTGTTCTTTTTTCATTCCTTCGTTTTCATTCTTTTTTTTTCTCGCAGTCTGATCAAATGTCTGTTTAGAATTATGTTTTTTTCTATTTTTTCACATTTTAAGAGGGGGTGTCATATCTGGTATCGTGGGTAGGTTCCGGGGTATGAATCAGTTATGGGAGTCAAAGTGGACTTATTCCTACGGAGTAACCCTCTAGAGCACAAGTCACGGCCCAAAGGAGGTCGAAGGCCCATTTTCCGAAATGGAATAAGTCCTATTTGCCCCCCTGAACACATGCCCCTAGTTGAATCATATCTCTCAACCGTAAAACCGAGTATAACCAGTCCCCCGTCTTTCAAAGTTTTGTGCTACATGCCACTTACGTGGTAGGTTAACTTGGTCTTCATCCCATGTGACGCTTACGTGGCATTAAAATAAAACAAACTTAAATGGGGCCCACATGGCAGTCAGTAAAACAATTAAAAAAATTCAGACCTACTTGTCAGTTACCCTTTCTCTCTCTAATGTGAATGGCGGCTGCAGCGACGAGTGAGATGGAGGGGCTTGCCTATCGTGGTGCATGGGTGGGGAGGAATCAGTTGCCACGGCGCGCGCGCGCGGGTGTGTGTGTGGGGGGGGGGGTTGCCATTCACGGCGCTCCGCGAGCTCAACGGCCACAGCACACGCACGGCGAGGACTCGCCTGCCACAGCACGCAAGGGGGAGGGCTTGCCGGTCGCAACACAAGCGGGGCAGGGGCTCGTCGACCTCTGACTCCACCTCCCGAATCGGCGAGACAACGCGACAGCCACGTAAATCCGACAGCGCAGCGGCGGTCCTATTTCTATTCTCCCCCCAATCCCCACACTCTCTCCCCTCGCCGCCTTCTCATCATAGCAGGGCGGCAAACGGTGGCGGCTGTGGCTATAAACAACATCCACCAAGGAGATGATGACGAACGAGCTCAGGGAAAGCTAGAATAGCGTCAACATGGCTCGGCAACAGCGTCTCCGATGCTAAGTCGCCAAGAACAAGCACCTCCCTGCTCCCTGGTCGAAGAGGAGTGCTTGTTGCCAGCTGTTGTCGCTCCTCTTCGCTGTTGTGCCGCCCGCGAGAAGATGGAGTGTCTCTATTGCCGCTGATGGGTTGTATGACGCTCGGAGATGCCCAACGCCTCACCGCCGCTTGGACCAACCATGGCATGGCTGGATCCCACCACTAGGTCCGAGCCTCTGTTTGGCGGCATAAGAGAGAAGGAGAGATCCAGTGGTCGTAGAGGCGGTCGGGGTGGTCGTGCACGAGAGGGAATTTCCAGCGCTGAAGCCGGTGTGGGTGCACGATACCATTGGCCTGCTCCTGTCCTGAGTCAGCACTAGAGAGGTAGCAACAGCACTAGAACACCCTCCCGCCACTGATGGCCCCGAGAGAGAGAGAGGGGGGGATGGAGGGAGGGAGAAAGGATGGGAGGAGCCGCCGGTGCCCTCCGAGTCTCCGACTCGTCGCTGTCGGCCCGCTGCCACCCTCTCAGCAGACTTGAGCTGCTGCTGGAAACTTGAGGAGAGGAAGATGCAAGGGAGGAAAGAGGGAAGAGATTGGTGAGAAGATGAGTGGAGACTTACATTTGGGCCCCACATGCTAACTTAGCCGATTGATCAGGTCAATGAGCCACGTCAGCGAAAACCCCCATCCAATACTGTTGAGGGAGTCAATTTGCAATGGTTTTATGAGTTGGAGGATGGGTTATACTCGGTGCAGTTGAGTAATGCGATTCAACCACGGGCATGAATTGAAGGATGCAGATTAGACTTATTGCCAGGCTAGAGAGCTCACAGCCTGCTGGCCCAACGATGCGATGCCTAGGGTTTATAAGAACACTTCCTGGCCACCCCCTCCGCCGCCTCCGAATCGTAGCGCCGGCGCTGCCACTTCCCTCGCTCTCGCATCTTCTCCTCGCGCCCAGGTATCTCTCTCTCTCCATCTATGCCTCAAATCCGCACGACGCTATAATTCGTCTTCTTCGCTCGGTTTGCTTGATTGCTGATCTGACCTTGTGTGTGTGTGCGTCTCTGGGGATCGAATCTTGCGGCAGGGGCCAGGTAAGCGAAGATGTACACCGCGAGGAAGAAGATCCAGAAGGAGAAGGGCCTCGAGCCCTCCGAGTTCGAGGACTCCGTCGCGCAGGTGAGACCCGCTGCTCTTTGCTTTTGAGATGGGTCGAGGAGTGGTTTGCTTATGGCGGCTGTTGTCTTGTGTAGGCTTTCTTTGACCTCGAGAATGGCAACCAGGAGCTCAAGAGCGAGCTCAAGGACCTGTACATCAACAATGCAGTGTAAGTGTGCCTGTTCTCTCCATGCAAACCTCACTCCCGGTCCCGGCCGATTGTTCGTGAGCAGTATATTCGTTTTGATGGTTAGTTAGTGCAATGTGTGATGTGGTTGCGGATTTGTGTGGTTGTGCAGCCAGATGGATATTGCCGGGAACAGGAAGGCTGTGGTGATTCACGTGCCGTACCGTCTGCGCAAGGCATTCAAGAAAATCCATGTCAGGCTTGTCAGGGAGCTCGAGAAGAAGTTCAGCGGCAAGGTGAATTACGTTTTCCTGCCTTGTCACCTTTTTTTTTTGCATAGGTTGCATGCTACTAGCTCAATTTACTAACTCGTAATACATTTTTGTTGGTTCTTAATGTTGCATCTCGGGCCGAAAACCTGTAAGCTTATGTTGTTCATGCTTAACTTGCAACATATATACTGTCAGTTTCATTGAAGATAAAATGTTGCCTTTTAGCGCTGAATATGCCATATCATACTGTTCATGTAACACCTAACATCTTGGAGAACATACACGGTATTGCGAGCACTTAACGTAAGGCTGCGAGCTGGGCATTTTCCATTCTTCTACTAGCATAGTACTGGCTTTCTATATCAATGCTGAAGTGTCTGATGTACACATGTAGTGGTTAACTGGCCTGGGGCATCATCCTAAGTTACTCTGAGGATACCATCGAAGGGAAAACATCAAAATTGTTAGTTATGTTTAGCGAAATCCTGGCATTTCTGTTTTTTAGCCTTATTTGGTGCACGGCAGACTTCTTAATTTGTGTTATATTTGTATGACCTTGGTGTCAGTTTGTTGTTGTTACCATTCTCTGAAGAATTTACTATTACTTGACTATTTTTATTGATATTGTACGTTGAACTACAAACAGGATGTGGTGATTGTTGCAACAAGGAGGATTGTGAGGCCTCCCAAGAAGGGCTCGGCTGTTCAGCGCCCTCGCACAAGAACTCTTACCGCTGTTCATGATTGTATCTTGGAGGATGTAGTCTACCCAGCTGAGATTGTTGGCAAGCGCATCAGATACCGTCTGGATGGTGCCAAGGTCATCAAGGTAGATGCTACAAACCCTTCTAAATTGTCATTTTAAAAGTTTATATTGTGTTCATCTGTCACTGCATGTACTGTGTCTACTAGCTACATCGGCTTCTCCTTTATAATTTGCATACACTGAAATCATAAACCAAGATGTTTTTTTTACCTCATGTACAATGGGCTTGCTGTAAGCCTGTAACTAATCCAGCAGCATGACATTTCTGTTTGCTAGGTTAGTATTGACCCATGTGTATTGATGTGTTTTCAGATTTTCTTGGACCCAAAGGAGCGCAACAATACCGAATACAAGCTTGAGACCTTCTCCGCAGTCTACCGCAGGCTTTGTGGGAAAGATGTTGCCTTCGAGTACCCTATGACTGAAACTGCTTGAAGATGCATTCCTTGGATTGTTCCCAATGTATTCCAGAAATCATAGTTTTGATGCCAAAGTTGGTCTTCGGTATTTGTTACTTGGAGATGGCAAATCGACTTGAGCAATGTTAAAGTTTTGGGCATTTAAATTATAGACCTTTGCTTGGCACGGTTAGCTTGTTTCAAATCCGTTGTTTGTTGTGGAATGTGTTTCACATATGTGGTAGGTGAAGAATCTCATTATGGTTCGCTGTTTCATTCTCTTGCGTTTATCACCCGCTGTCTGCTAACTTAGGGTGTGTTTAGTCCTCGTCAAAATTGGAAGTTTGGTTGAAATTGGAACAATGTGACGAAAAAGTTGAAATTTTTTTTGTGGGTAGGAAAGTTTTGATGTGATAGAAAAGTTGGAAGTTTAAAAAAAAAGTTTAGAACTAAACTCGGCCCTAGTCAATTTACCCTTACTATTAGGCATTATCCCCGCTGTCTGCTAACCTAGTCAATTTACCCTTGTATTATTACTAGGCATTATCCTTGCCTCCGTTAGTGGTTTGTTCTTGAGAGCGGCCAGGTAGGAAAATTCCACTTGAAGAGGAGTGCGTTACGCCGGCCTCTTGCCATTATCATCGTTTGTATTGATATGCAGAAATAGAAAGAAAAACCTAGGATTTTGATGAAAATAAATCGGATATAGATATCATAAAACACATTGGAACTTGAGATGGAGAGAACTCTAGATATTTTCCATGAGATTGTTACCTAATTCCTACTTTCCTACAAAATCTTATGAAACTGCCATTCGAAAGGAATATCGTAGGATTCTCGAGTCCCAATCCGTTCCAGAAAGGTAAATCGGAACAATGGTACGAAAAATCTGTCCCCATTGGATCATAAGACTTGGACGGTCTATCCCATGGTACTAAGGGTTTTGGAAAGAATTTTGCAGAATTTGAATGGATGTATCCTATACACAAGTTTTCTGTGTACACATCGTACACATCAACTAACAATTTTTACCAAAAATCTAAGAACAAATTCACATGTTCTATCATGAGTTATCACACATTCACACGTTCATATCTTGGTTAAATCTGAACAGCAGGCTGTAAATAAACCACAAAAGTCTCCAAATTATGGGCCTCAACAGTAATCAATATCGTTTCCTCAGACGGCAATTGCCAGTTTGCCACAACAGCCATGTTGGCTAACATTTGATACATTCGGAGTACTGCTTGAATTTGCAGGCTCTCCCTAACCTTATTATCCCTATAGTCTTTGACTCTTGATACCTCCAAACTCATGCACCAATGTTCTCAATGCTTGCGCCTTTGTCAATCCTTTTAAGAATTCCTGCTATAACCTGGTAATGCCAGACAAGCAACAAGACAAGAACAGTATTTTCAAATGTCAGTGTGAACTATGAAGTTATGGATAAATCTTCAGCTTACTCATGTCTAAGAAATCATGGATAAATTCTTTTACCTTTCCAGGACCAAGTTCATAGCTTTTCTCAAGTCCTTTACCCATCAGAGTCTTCACGGTACTCTCCCATTGCACAGGGGAAGTTACCTGTAACTCTAATTAGTCAGGCATACAGAAGACATTGTGCCCAAGAGAGTAGAGAGAGCTGCATTATAAATTCAGATTTAGAGAATATTGTGTAGAGCTCATACCTGTCGCGCCAAAATCTTCTTGATTGTGTCAGGATCTGAGTGGGGTGATGCATCCACATTGGAGATAACTGGGATTCTTGGTGTTTTTATCTCTGTCTCAGCTAATGCAGATTCCAATCTTGAAACAGCAGGTTGCATGAAGCTTGTATGGAAAGCACCAGCAACAGCTAGGCGCACCTGGTAAGATAATGGTCACCGCAGACAAAGACACATCATTTACATATATCTTGCTATGTGTTTGTAAAAAATTGCTGTCTAATATTTTTAGAATGTGCGCAGTAAAACTTGCATAGCTTTTATTACTAGTACAAACCGACCCTATTCGGATAAAATTAGATTTGACAACTGATGTATTTCTGTAATATAATATCTTCATGATTCTTTTAGCTAAGATATTAATACATGTCAACATCCAAAATGGCATATGCGTTTGAACAGTGGGTTCAGTATTCAGTAGATAAGCCAACTATATTTCCAAAAACATCAAATTATGATAGATAATATATCATATATAGATGTGCAGGAACACTAACCGTCATTCTGGCCTTAAAGGACTTTGCTTTGGCTTCGACTGCTTCAATCCCCTTCACACCACCAGAAACTGCATAGTTCCCCTGCAATGAACGGCCCTATCTGTCACTATTTTGAACAAAGCAATACCCAGGAGAGAACGGAACACATGAGATGAAACACTTACAGGACACAGAAAGTTTGCTATTTGAACTCTTTCCTTTTCATCTACTTCCTCGTTAGCAGCATCGCATAATTGCTGCACCTTCTCTGAATCTAGACCAATCACACTGACCATAGCACTGCTGGCAGCATCTGAAGCATCCTACACAGATAATAAAAATAAACAATCAGTTTGGAAAGCAAAAATCTCAAGGTAGACATATCTCACGGTGTTCTTTGGACAGTGACCTGCATGGCTTCTCCTCTAAGCTTGACAAGCTTCAGACCATCCTCAAAGCTACACGTTGAGAACTATGTAAGTACACAGACTTGACACAACACAGAATGCAAAAACAGAGCGCTTCAGTTTTGAAAATCTTACATGTATTAGAGATTTAGGTATGTTCAACAAAAGATCAAATCAAAACCTATACTGTATGTTCAACCTATAATAGGAAACGAATCCATGTGCTTATTTTTCAAAATAATGCATGCATGATTTTATTAACAGAATAAAGGAAATACCTAAAGGCACCAGCAAATGCAAGTGCAGTGTATTCCCCTAAGCTGAGACCGCATGTGACATCTACAGAGTCAATTACATTTTGGCCTCCATCACGTGAGCGTAGTACCTCTACGGCTGCAAGGCTGGTGACATATATAGCTGGCTGCAAAAAAAAAAAACATTTTTCATTGGTCAGAATATAACTCTTGACTGACAAGAACTGGAAGTCTGGAACTATATCTGAAATGTGTCATCCTTTGCACTGAAAACAAATTTTGAAAAGCATTGCCGGGTTAAAAGGGAAAGCCAAACAATTTTGTGGAGTAGACTTCTAGCATAAATTGCAAGACAGAAAATTACTAAAATTGGTTAACTGGATTCATAACTTATCAGTTATCACTTATACATATGGGGGAAAGCTATATGATATGACTAAGAAAAAAAACACAGTTCATAGCAAATAATACTATTTAGTATTTACATGGATAAGAAGCCAAATGGAATGCATGAAGGAGAAATGACTTTGAAATCTACAAACCTGACTGATTACTGTCGAGTCAAGCTTTTCTTTTGGTCCATTGGTGCAAAAATCCAACAAGTCATACCTACATTTGTCAAAACAACATTAGCATATGCAATCTTTTTTTTCACCTTTGGAATATAGTACGTAAACTTATTAGCATCATGGAACAAGTACTGTAAAGGAGTGAAAACGTATAGGTAGAATAAAAGATTAGAACATACCCAAGTATATCATTTGCCTTATCAAATAGTTTGGCAGCTGCAGGAACATTCACTGCTTCTGCACCCATCCCAACAGTCTGAGCACCCTGAAAAACGAAGAAAAAGAATAAACACATAGAAGTGATGCAGCACATATACTGCAACCATATTTAGCTTTCAATTATGCATATGGCCGCATGAAAATAGTACCAGAACTGAAGCACCTAATTATAAATCAGACGACCTCCTTTCACATCCTAACCATCACTTTACAACTTCATACACGTCAACTGAAGCAACTTACTTTTGTACATCAAGCTACAATTGCAGCAACTAACTAAACACTTCCTGCTACCTCAGGTTCCTTCAAAATTCAAATTCTCCTTCCTGCTAAATTGTACCTAGCTGGATGGCAATTATCTCAAAGTTTAAACCTCACAGGGAACTTTTCAATGACTGGGTATCTGTCTCACCATTCCAACAATCGGGAGCCCAAATTCCTATATGCGTGGACACAAGTACTGTCTGTGCTACGTGCTAAGAGAAGCAGCCCCCTTGTGCTCGTTACCTGGCCGGGGAAGAGGAATGCGGTGGTGGGCTTGTAGTCGGCGAAGAGCGCGTCGGAGCCCACCGCCACCTCCGATCCGAGGGACACGCCGGCCGCCGAGACCCTAGATCTGCACGGCACCCTCACGGCCGCGGGGACGCCCCTCGCGGCGCCGCGCGAGGCTGCGAGCGGGGCCGGCGCGGAGGGCCTGAGGAAGGCGAGCGTGGAGGCCATCGTAGACACCGGCGAGCCGAGGCGGAGGCAGAGGCGGCGAGGAGGCGGGCAGCGGAGCATGCACCTGCGGGGCCGCGAGCTTTGTAGGCGTGGAGGATGGCGGCTACTAGCTGGCGGAGCAGCAGCGAGGTGGAGGCGGAGCTCACGAGGTTGGAGGTGGAATTCCGTGGGAGGAGGTGGAGAGCGACGCGACGTGGCCGCGTTGGGCTGTATTCCTGTATGGGGGCCTTTGAGGAAGGAGCATCCAGCTGGTGGGCTGGTGGTCATGGGTTAGCCTTCAAATGGAAGGAATAAGTCTACCTTAAGTCCCTCAATATAGGTTCAAACTAATTCGTACCCTACAACGGTAATACATAGGTTATCTTTGATCCTCTCTGCCAACTGTCACAACCAGTATAATTTGACTCCCAATGCAGTATTCACGGCGGGATTTTGTTGACGTGGCTCATTGATCTGGTCCAACTGGCTGAGTCGACGTGTGTGGGCCCACATGTCTTTGTCAACATCACCTCTTTTTTCCTCCTTTATCCCTATGGCGAGCTTTGTTAGGTATAGCACCGCCAAACCTAGCAACGGTGGGGCGCGAAGGCAAGGGCAGCACTCCGCAGGAGGATGCGGGAACGGAAGCGCGCCCAGGGAGGATGGCGAGCAAGGATTTGAGCGCTGACGTGGCCCAAGGAGCGGCGACGCTGAGTCCTCAAGACAGAGCGATAGCATGACCCAAGGTGGAGCGACGGCTATGCAACCCCAATGCGTAATGGTGGCGCAGCTATATCTATTGTCGCGACCGTGTTGCTGTCTCCCACGATGCCTTCCATTGTGCCATCTCCATCTTCGTCACTAGCATCGTGGCGCATACGAGAGGAGCTACTTCCTCGGCAGCATTTGGGATGTCGTCGTTTACGCGACAGGGGTGGTGCCCAACATGTTGAGGCCATTGGAAAGGGTTGGGGGAGGGGTGAGGGGAGATTGGGGTAGAGAAGGAGAGAGAGGAGGAGGATGACATGTGAGCTTTATTTTATTTTTATTTCCTGTAATGATTGGGATGTTATGTGGATGGCTGGACGCCATATTAATAACACTATCAATATTATCATGAGAATTAAATTACACTGTTTTTAATAGCTGGAGGTTAGGATATTCAGTATTGCGGTTAAGGCTTTTGAGAGACATAGAATCAGATTGAACATATGTTTGAGAGAGTTAGGACTTGTTCCCAACTGAAATCCTAAGTCAGTTTGGAGGGGGCATGCACGCGTTCTAAAGCCCATTTTATGCTGGCTGCTGCTTTCCTTCAGAGGACCATATGTCCTGGACTAGATGGGTCTAAATACCAGCCCATCTAATCTAGGCCTTATCCTGAGTTACGGTCCATCTGAACTGTAACGTTGTTTATAAATCTCGGAAAAAAGTTTGAGATTTTGAGTAGTCTGATACTTTGATTACTGACGCACAATTCCTCAATTCGAGTGTAATACCGAATATGTATGTACTCCTAGACTATCAGTATGTACTAGTACCTTCATTGGTTGATCTTGGTTCCAAGTTCGAACAAAGCACTCACGTGAAGCACAAGAGTGGCGGTTTAAGCCAACTCATGTACGTACCGTTGTTAGGACACAGGGAAGTACTACGTAGCCATCTACTAGTGCTAGCTAGAGAGAGACATGGACAGGGAGAATAATGGTTCGGTGCAATTAACCCGTGGGATTTACAACGGCCAGAGAGATGAGCGCGAATCGATCATGTTCACCATCGGCTACTGCCTACGGCAGCCGAGCAGTCACCTCGTCGAAAAGCCCAGAAACACACAAGATGCGGTCAAAAGGACGGAAAAAAAGAGGATCGATGCACGTACGGGCCAGTTTGCCCATCCACGCCCACACGCCCCTATCTCGATCGCCATTTGCCAACATGGAAGCGAGACCGGTGCGCGCGGAGAGGCGAGGCGATCGACGACGGCGACCAGTGCGCGCGCGCCCACACGATCGTACGCCGACGACGTCGCCCTCCCGCCCCCTCCACTTGCCGCGCAACTTGAGCCCGCGCCAACCAACCAACCGGCGCGTCCTTCTCGCCACCACGGCGCTCACGCGAGAGCGAGAGATCTGCTGCCTCGTACGAGCGAAACGGCGTTTTCTGTGCGTGCACGACGCGACGAGCCCCGCGCATGGCGCCGGGTCGAGATGCGTAGATATCCCAGCAGCAGGGGAGCCAGGAGATAATACCGTTTGATAGGCTACACGTACAAACGAGTGGACAGCAGAACGGGGCAGGGACGATCACGCGAGACGGGAAGGATGATGACGAGGCGAAAAAAGGGCTCGGGGAACGCAAGGACGATGTGGCTTTGGCTGGCCTTTCGCCTTATATTAGCAGTATACTAGTAAAAGTACTCGCTGTTACTGTTTAGAACGGACCAACTTGCAGTTGCTTGCTTGATTGTGCTACTCTCTGCTGCGCTAGCCGTGGTGCCTCGCGTGTGGTGTGCCTTGCCTCCAACAAAGCGTTAATCCCTGAGGCTAATTACATAGCCCAAGTTGCATTGCATTGCCGATGTCGAGCCGGCCGGGGGCCACCCATCCATCATCGCTTGCTCCGATCCATCCCCATCAATCCACACTAGTACGTATACCCTCCGTTCCAAAAAAAAAAAAAGACAAACCCTGGTCATGTCCAGATTCATAGCCAGGGTTTGTTTTTTGGACGGAGGAAATCCTACGTAGCTACTCTCCACAGTTCACAATTAGCTATAGCTACAGCTAGCCATGAACCGCATGCGACACTGATTTTTTTTTTGAGAACTTGCAACACTGAAATTAGTATGCGCGCGTGTAGTACTACGACGTACGACAGGCATATATTCGTTTTGCAAGGTAAGGTGTGTTTGGTTGGAGGGATATCCCTGGAAGGAAGATGATGATCCAGTTTTTAAATGTGTTTAGTTGGTGGACGATGGTGGTTAGGGCGGCCCGGAGAGGGAATATTCCATAAATATGTTGGATGAGTGTATTCGGTCAAATTGGTCGGATGAGCACCTTTGCTAATCATGATCATTAGTTATTGATTAGCAATAAGTAATGTATTCTGTTGTTAATTAGTAATTAACGGGTCAAAATTAGTGTTGGTTAGATATAATTAGTCTAATTTATTGTTAATTAGTATAAATTATGGCTATATTAATGATAATTAATATGTTTTATTATTAATTAATATGTTGTTATTTTCATTCAATCCATTCTCATCCACCAAAAAAAACTGGTGACCATATCCACCCAACCAAACAAAAAAACTAATAGACCACAATATCCCTGTAAATATGGATGGCCATATCCTATCCAACCTTGACTATGAACCAATACACCCTAACTGAATATGAGTAACTGTTGCGTCCTTAGGCTGTGTGCGTTTCCCCTAGTTGGGAACTAATGCCCTGCGCACGGAAAACGGAGCAGGCCATTAACGCGTGATTAATTAAATATTAGCTATTTTTTAAAAAATGCATCAATATGATTTTTTAAGCAACTTTCGTATAGAAACTTTTTGCAAAAAACACACCGATTAGCAGTTTGAAAAGCGTACGCGCGGAAAATGAGGGATATGGGTTGGGAACCCTGACTAACGAAGGCAGCGTTAGTCCTAACCTGACCATACCACAATTATATAGTGATGCCAGGCACGCGTGTGTTTTACGGCAGATGCCCAAAAAGTTTTGTAAGAAATAGAAAGTACCCTCTCCATTTTAATAGATGATATCGTTGACTTTTAAACACATGTTTAATGATTTATATTATTCAAAAAATCAAGTCATCATCAAGACAATTCTCCAAGTATATTTCTTCTCAATTAAAAAAAAGGGTGAATAGCAAAATATTAATCCTCCAAGTCTCCAAGCTTCACTTAAGGCTTGGTTTGCTTCTTGACATTTTAATATGTCCATCTTAGTCCTTTTAAGTTTTTATTTTAGTTCAAACTCGCTCTTGAACTAACTTATAAAGCCATTTGACTAAGTAAATCTAATCAACAACTCTCTACCTTGTTTCCTTCATTTACATCTATACTCCTTTAAAAGACCCAAATTATGGTGGTGAGTGGTGAATCTGCCACCACCCACCACCACTACCACATGGGTCCCCCAAATAGTGAGATAGGTGAACTTTTATCCCTTTCCCAACCAGAAGCCATCAAACAAGGAAAATGTATTTCTAAACGAGATAAAAAATGATGAAAAATATGACATGAATGATTTACAATGGGGGGATTTCATTTTTAATATTTGTGGTTTTAAAGTCTTTCTTTAATTCCCGTTACAACACATGGGCATTCAGCTAGTATAAAGAAAAAAGTATGACCTACTATCAATGTGGTGACAGTGTATGTTGAGAACCCTTATGGATCTAACTTTCTAGCACACATCCAATTATTATAGGGTTAATTTGATCCATGCCATTACAAATGTACCGTATTAAATAAATATCATTGTATTCGCGATATCGGTTGTGTGCTATTGGAATTTTGTAAAATTGGATCCATGCCATCACCAACATGTTTTCCCTCCCAACCCTCTAGGCGCCCATGTCCTCGGCGCGCTGCCGCTCGTCGGCCCGACGGTGGTGGCGTTGTCACCGTGCCCGATGAAGATGAATGTGTCCACCGCAGGCTGTTGCGAAGAGGACTCTAGACTGATCAGCAGCGAGCGTAGTGGTGGTTTGGCGAGGAGATCCAGTGAGGAGAAGCGAGTGCAGCCGCCAGACAAGGAAGGAGAGAAGAAAAGAACAGAAAGAAGAACGAAAGTGTGAAGAAAAATGTGATGGCGATGGCATGGATTCAATTTTATAAAATTTTAATGACATCCAGCCAATATCGTAAATAGTAATGACATTTTTTTGTAATATGGAACATTGTAATGGTATGGATCAATTATTCCCAATTGTACATTATGTTTGTTCCGTTGAAATGTGTGCCAATGAACTTTCCTAAAGGTAATGCAAAGTAATTTATATTTAATGAAAGTAATTATGTATACGATAGCCACTAAAGTTCAACCCTCATACGCAAATATGCTATTTGTTTTTTGTTTTTCTAATGTATGTAAAAAAGGCAAACTGGAAATTTTATAATACAAATTATGACTAAGAAAAACTAACCGACGGTATCCCGTCCAGGGGGAGTGGGGACGGGATACATAATGAGC